GCTAATGCAGTCATCTGTACAGGATGTGAAGGTGCTAAAAGTCAGTGCACAAAACAAATAAATTCAGAAATACAGCCATCCCAAATCCACAATCCTTTTGGGAATGGCTTTAAAATGGCTTTTGTGTTACTTTTTTCTGTGATAAGGGGGTAAATCCCCTTTGTTTTGTTAATGACAAGCCAAAAAAAATCTGGATAATGCTAACAGCATTATCCAGTGCTCTGTGAAGTTATATTACAAAAAGTCCTCTGGAATTGGAATGTATGTAACTTCCCAGTGTGTTGTCTAGACCAGCTAAATTCTCTCATTTGTACCCTCAGGCAAGCTAAAAACTTCATTATTGTCTTCCCTGGAGCTAAAATCTCTTACATTTGTCTTTAAAAGGAGGCTCTCTTTCCCCAATTTGTTTTCTCCTCAGTTTTATAACTCACCAATTATTACACACACCCAGCAATAATTTATTAGTAATTATAAGCGGTCTGTCTTTTTGCACACCAAAGATTTCCCTCATGCACACCAAAAAGGTGTAAAAACCAAGGATTCTTTAAGTGCACACCAAAAGGGGAAAGACTTGATTGGTTGTGCACTCCAAAGAATATGGGGTGCACAAATTTGCATTCCTGTAGATCTTGGATTGCATACCCACACACTCCAGTGTTTTTACTTCCCAGGGATTTCTAGGGGTACAAATCCTGGTCACTCAAGATTAATTGGAGTGCAGAGCTTCACTCCAAAATTCTGGAGTGTTTTGTTTCAGAAAACGGGTTTCTCATCCTCTTTTGGTTCTTACACCATCAGAAATAGTGTTTTACAGCTAACAGCTAACAGAGATTATCCAAAGTTTTAGCATTATTCTGCTGTGCTGACAACGGTGGGCCGCTACGCTACGCTACGCTTTTGGCCCAAAAAGTGTAGCGTAGCGGCGCTTTTTTTGCGCCAAAATTTTGTAGTGTTAGCGCTTTTGTAGCGCATTTTCGCTACGCTACGCTGCGCTACAGCGCTTTTAGCAGAAAAAGCGGCTAAAAACCGCTAAAAACGGCTGTAGCGCAGCGTAGTGGGCCCTTTTTTGTGGCCCACATGCGTAGCGTTAGCGGTGTCGTGGCGGAATTCTGCTACGCTGCGCTTAACGCTAACGGGAATTCCGCTGCGTTACGCTACACTAACCGCTACGGTTAGTGTAGCGGCCCACCGTTGGTGCTGATGCCAAAATTAGTGTAGCTGACCCAAAATTGATACAGTTATGAAATGGGGTATCCATCTGCCTTGAGGTTAATTTTAGTACTGTAGTCCAGTTAAATTTATATTTCAACATGAATACTAGGCTCTCAATAATATTCAGTTCAAATGTTTCATTTTTTTCATTCTTAATCCACTCATGTCTTACAATCCTTTGCACTATGGGACATCAATTTTTGAGAAACATTGAAGCTTCATCCAAAAGTCAGTGATTGTGATATTTATTGAACGAGTGAAAAGAAAGGTTGTGTACTGTGGGACTCGAACCCACAACCTCAGCATTCATGAGTGATGCTCTGACCATTGAGCTAAGTACACATTGCCAATGTTGAATACATGTGTGATGTATGCTTGTGAAGATGTGATGATGACGTGGATCATGAAGAATTGCCTCCAATGCTGATTAGAAGTCTCACATGGATGTGTTAGCAATGTGTAACAAGCAGTGCCTGAGTTTGACACTTCAACATTCCCCCGTGCTTGTTACAGGGTTGCTAGCAAATGCTACCAATCTTAACAAGTTCAATTGTGAAGCAGCATGCGCTACCTGGGCTCATAACCTATTGAACGAGTGAAAAGAAAGGTTGTGTACTGTGGGACTCGAACCCACAACCTCAGCATTCATGAGTGATGCTCTGACCATTGAGCTAAGTACACATTGCCAATGTTGAATACATGTGTGATGTATGCTTGTGAAGATGTGATGATGACGTGGATCATGAAGAATTGCCTCCAATGCTGATTAGAAGTCTCACATGGATGTGTTAGCAATGTGTAACAAGCAGTGCCTGAGTTTGACACTTCAACAATATTTTCCTGCAGAACATGCTTCCAAAGTTTCATTATCAGAATCATTCTTGAAAAATATTTTTGCACCACTGTAACAAGCCTCATGAATTAGAGATTGTGGGTTGAAATTGTGGAATTGAAAAATTTCAAGAAAGTAACTAACTGTATGTGCATGTCATGTAGTCTGTAACATCCTACCTAAAGTTATCTATAGGATATCCAAAATGTTTTCAAATGAGAAATTCAATATGAAAGTAGAGTTGTGAGGGCAGAGGGGTCTTTCTGATAAATTAAACACCTAATCAATGGTTAGAAATTCAAAGGAAGTGTGTAGTTATCCAAGGTTAGATAGGGTGGAAGTCAGGGTTTGAGCTTGCCAGGATTTGAACACAGCACATGTCACATTCTTCAATGTAAAATTTTGACATAGGGAAGACACCAAGCTTCTAAGGTTGATGCTGACTACTATGTCATCCAGGCCCTCCATCATGATTGCACCAAAACACTTGGAATAGCCTGTGGTACTTTATCTGTGTGAGTGGTGTGTTCTTCACAATTGGAAAATTCTAATTCAGCATTTTGTTTTAACCACTTTGAAAGTCTATCCATAGGACGGAGGATTTCTCTTCCAGAGGCCTCTGACAGCAAGCGAGGAAATTGTGGCTGGGCAAGGAGTGGTCGTAAATTTGCTGCAAATCTTTGCGCAAAGGAAGTTTTTTGTTCTTGTTTGGTGCCTATCTCAAGGGCATCAGCCAATAGGATTTGGAGATTTGCAAAAAACAAATGACCCTTTTCGTCTTGGGGAAGGAAATGGGTGACCTGCAATGCTTTGTAAATGTAATCCCACGTTTCTTCAAGCGTAATCTTATAGGGCGGTATGAGTTCGGTGGTGCCACTTTCAAAACGTGTTCTTTTGTCTTTGTGTGCATTCTCCCATATTTCCAATTTGCCCATGTCGTGATCTAGATGGTCCCAATTTCCCTTAAGCTTATTCCCTTTGATGGAACTTGATACTGTTGACCCCTCAGTGTGCGCTCCCCTTCTATGAAATTCTCTCATAGCTTGAAGAGCTTTCTTCAAGTCCATCAAGACTGGCATTTTATCAAATTGAGATTGATGTGCAAGTCCCTCTTCAAATAACAGAAATCAGTTTATCATGTGATATATTGGAGATATATACTGGATTTACTGACTAGGAAATCGCCATCCTTTCTTGTCAAGCTGATCAAGTGTCAATTCTGAGGGGTCATTTTTATTTCTGACAACTTCTTTCAAAGAGCTTTTGGAATAGCTCTTGTGTGACGCGTCCCCAAAGAAAAAGCTATTTGAATCTGAGTCAGATGGAATTGAAAATAAAAAATGAAAAATTATTTTTGAATGATATTTATGACAATCAACAATTTCTGAGTCTTGAGAGTACACTGACCATGCAAATACCGGTGTTGGTATGACTCGTTAAAACCCTGCGATGAGTTTTCTGGATCTATTCCCATACGGAACTCACGTGACATCCTGTCAGAATTTATGTACATTCTCGGTGATAAGCTTCCTAGATTTCTGTCCACTTCGTACGGAGAGACATGCCGGAAGCTCGGTGGATCTAAGAAATTCCGAAGTACTCAAGACCGTTGCATCAGAAGTTTAGTTTTAAGCTCAAGCTTATATTCCTGAATGACTAACAAATTTTACCATAGAGCCACTCTTTGTTGACTGGATCAAGGTACTCTGGAAAAAAGCCAACTGAAATTGAAATAACATCAGCTGGAATCATTGACGGGCGCGCACTTCTGACTACTCACGTTTTCTTATTTGCATGTTTTGAGCTGGTTGAGGGTGCTCGTAATCAAGAGAAACACTGTGAGTGTTGTCCATTCATTGGACCTCGTTCATGTTACAGAAAATCACGTACCCTCGGCCCACTCTTCATCATTAATCTTACCCCATGCTCTTCCCCTCAAGAGGTTTTGCTGTTCGGGTGAAAGATAGCTGGGGAAATCACCTAGAGGGTTATGAATAAGCCTTGAGAGAGGATAATACATGCAAATTGCACCGAACCTCGTCAACATGAGAAAACAAATTATCATAGATGAGTGAGGCATAGGCATTCTGAGGTTGATACCGGTAAACAATCAACTATCACCAAATAGAGAGTTGCGAAGTGATTACTTTTTTAATCAGGAATTGCGACAAAGACGTGCAATCTTTTATAATTATCAATTGATTTGAAACCAAGCTGGTTCGAGAAGAAAACCTGTTCATGTCCCCATGGGCCCATAGTCTCAGCATAATTTGAAAATGAGGGTGTCGATGCTACCTAGCTCAGCTAGTCGATTGCGTGGTTTCTCGATGTCGGGACTGGTGGGGAGCAGCCGGCAAACAGTACGGGATCTTACGGTATTTGGGCCGCATTAATAGAACAGATAAGAGTTACAGTTCAGGCTAAAGTCCGTCCGACTCGAGAGAACACCAATCCAAAGAGTCCGAGCGGGCAGAAATTGGTCAATATTACTTGTCACAGCCAGCCGACTTGCTAGAAAGCCTCATAAAACAGCAAGGCGGTCTGTGGATCATGAACAAGCTTGCCGAGAGGTCGGTATGAGCTTCACTTTCGTACTAACTTTAGTTCCTGGGTACCATCGAAGGTCGTACTGCTTCACCGTCTCGGACCTGTGGGATAATGAGTTTTGTGAGAGATGCTGTAGTGCTGTTCCCGCAAAAGGCAAACAGTCGTGATAGGCTGTCTCCTCATCGTAAACCTGTCTCCAGCTTCCGATGGCTTGCCTGTCTTAAGCTTCGAGTAGATCTCAATTGCGACAGCAAAATTTCCAAGCGGCAGATTACCCGCCAGTTCCCATAGGCAGTCTGAAGTGACATTAATGGTGTCATTGGTTTGCCTCCCGTCTCCGATTTTTGAATTTGAAAGTAAACATAATCTCGATCGCCCAAGAGGCAAAAGCGAAGGATTGCTCTGTGGATTATAAGGATCCACTGCTCAAGTTGGATTATGAGTTTGCCTACATGAACATTTAATATCTGCAAGATCTTCGAAATTTATATGACTGTGACCGCGAGTAACAGACGGACCGAGCCGCAACAAGATCCCCTCAATGTCCGACATTGTGGAGAAGTGGCGAATCTGATTATTGGAGAGGACTACCTGAGCGTTTCATTTAGACAGGTCACCAGATAAATGCCTGCTTGATCTTTCCGGCCTTGGCAAACCAGCTCACCATGTCAGAAAATTTCAACAAGGCGTTCGCTAAGTATTTTTCTTCAGAAAAAACTTTACTTCACAGAACTCACAGTGAAATAGGAGCTCAAATATGACTACGACTCATAGACGGACTGATTCGGGAGTTGGCCCGGCGGGTCGATGTGCAGCATCATGAAAAATGATGTGAATTGAACAATTAACCAAGCAATGGCGCGTTTCAACCAGCCAGCTGTGTCATTTTCAACTGCTGTCGTCAGCGAGTTGCAGTCAGAGCATCAAGAGCAGGTTAGAGAACTTATAAGTGGAAATCTTCACATATGTATAATATGTCCCTAACTTACCGACCAGGGGGCGGGAATTAAGTTAATTAGAATATGTCTAACTTAACAAAGTCCCTCTGAAATGGGAGGGGGGCGCTGCCGCACCCGTCCCGAAGGGACCCTCCGGTCGGTGCAATGCGACAAGTGGTTTGCCACTCCGACCAGGGGGCGGGAATTAGTTAAGTTAGCAAATGCCGTGTTTCTGGAATCTGCTAAAGGCTAGAAGTGCAGAACTAAGGCCCCGTTTGGCCGCAAATCATTATTTGGGATTTGGCTAAGTTTGGCTGGGATTTGGCCCGTGCGATATGAAACGATATAAGGTTTTTGCACAAACTCCTGCCAAACCTCAACTCAAAATTACAAATCATGGAGGGCCAAACGGGGCCTAAAGCATAGAGCAGATAAACAGCAGGACGGGTGAGGAATAGAGATACAGAATGTCTGAGAATTATTGAGACACGGGCGAGGAACAGACAATATTTTCCTGTTGTTAGTAACTGGCGCGTCAATTGCTGACAAAAGAACGCGTGCTCGTAAATGACAAGCTTAGAATCACTAGTCATGATATTCTAACGTTTGTAACTTGCAATGACAGATGGACATCACCAACAGAGATCAAAGAATTTGTCTTGTGGCTAGCAGTTGCATTTGGAGAAGGACGGGGATTGAGGTTTAAATAGGCCCCATGAGGGCAAACATGGGAAGGTAATAACATTTACTAAGAAAAACTTAAATAAATCAAACGTAGTACAAGCTACTTGAACTTCTCAAGATGATAGAAATTTTCTAAAGAAAGAAACTCAGTTATTCAAGCCTTGGTTTTGACAATCCACTAAGTCAAAGTAAATATCCATAACCTGAAGACGAAACGCAAAATGGGACATGTGAAGATCAGTACATAGGGTGGATAATGGAGCTCACCAAGTCTACTTTCCATCCATGTGCATGCACATCTGTTATCGGCCAAAAGGTTCTAGAGCCACTTGGCATTTAAGAACGATGACAGCTCTTTTCCCAGGTGACAGCCGTTTTTGCCGTCATGACCAGGTCACAATGGCAACACACAAGCCTCGGCGTGAATGAGTTTCGTGAACTGAGACCTAAGTTACAGACATCCTTGACACAGTTATTGAGGCTTTCCCCGTTATGCGTACCTTCACTATGATGGACAAAAAGTAAAAACTTGAACCGTGCATCATTTACAACTATTGAAAATATATAGCATCATTTGTAGTTGAAACTTAACACTACGCTAGTCACGCAGGGTTACAGTTAGGAGGGGGATGAAGATTTCCTGCCAAGTATGACCAGCTTCACTCCACTGATCCTGTGTGTGCATGTCCTTGTAAAACCCAAGTGGTTCAACAGATCCAGATATAATGTTTGTTCCTTCAATAATATTTACTCACAAATAAGATGGAAGAAACTCTAGAGCATGAACTGCCTGAATAAAAATAACTTTTTCCTTTGTCATCCCATTGCACAAGCTGTCACAAACTTCCCCGAACTGTCACAACTCCGTTCAATCAATGACATAATTGATGAGGAGGAGTCTTTCTAAGCATGTTAAATAGAGATCAAGCCTTGTGATTGCGCTTGAATGAAGTGTTTTTTTTGGTAGCACTAGCTATCCCAAGAGTTCTATGCGTGGGAGCCATGCATTGTATGAGTACGGTTCGGCTTGGCCAGGCTCACGATTCCTGCTTCCAGTTAAACATCATTACCTGCGGGGAACGATCAAATTGAAACCCTTCTTAGGTACAAGCATGCATCCATTCTGTGAAGTGCAAGTGGACAATGATCCGGAGTCTTAGATTTCACTTGTGTTTTGATATACATGTTGACGTCATATCACCTATACAAGAAATACAAGTACATTGAGAAGCAGCTTCCGAGGATAGGTGATCAGTTTTACGCTCCTTTCCAAGTGTGTAGGTATTGGTTCAAAAAATCCACATTTCAAGTGCAACACTGGATTTTTCAAAAGGCACCCATGGTCATAGCTTTGCCGACTTGCTCAATATAGGCCTGATGAATAACATCAAAGTTCAGCGTGATGAATCATCCGGTTGATCAATATTAAATGAACAGCAAAAAGTGCAAACCTTTCGATACGGATTGCTTTCGCTCTCCGTAGACCGATTGAGTGCTACCCATTTGGGTTCATCCTTTCATCAAGTAGACCAATCGAAAAATTCAATGTTGGGATTGCCAGAAAAATCGAATCCCATGAAGAATGGTAGCTCTCACTTTAAATAGCCTCATCGCTTTGATGTAATTATCCTTATCCACTGTAAATCGATGGAAGATCCCTGAGTATGACCGTTCAAATAGGAATGTGGATCGTCAGTCACAAAGAGATGCAGAACGTTTTTTTTTTTAAAAAAAAGTCTAGAACAAAGAAAGTAGAAAGGTAGGAGAAGAAGGGGAAATAAACAAAACTTGTCTATAAATGAGTACTCACCTGGAGGAAGAACCAGAAGATCACCTTTTTCGACCTTGATCCGTACCCAACGTTGATCGGTTTGATCTGATGGTACATTTTGATCACAGTGTTACATTAGATTGATTGAACTACAGAAACAAAATCTTCGTAGTGCATACCTCTGACATCAAAATAGCCACTGCCCTCAACTACCCATCTGATTTCTTCATCTGTTCAAGAGCACAAGTAAGACATAGGATCAGCGATGTTGATGGTCAATATAAAATTTGAGTGCACAAATGTGATGAAAGAGGAAAACTAAAATGAAATTGCTATCAAACCTTCATGAAGATGTTCCTCAAAGAAGGTGTCCAATTTCTGTTGATAGATATCTCCCTAAATGGGTTTTTTGTGCCATGCGAAAAAAAAAAATGTAGAACCGATGATCGGTTTCAAAACGCCCACTACAATTTTCAATTTTTAGATACCAAAAATCGACTATGATGGATGAGCATACCATTGCTTGGGGACTGCAAATTATCTGGTCACGATTTTTATAATCCCGTTGAATCGCGATTGAATTGACTTGATCGATAGAGTCAATCGACCAGTAAAGCACACCAAGTTTTTCCAATTCTTGTTTTGAAACGGACTGGCTCGATTCGTGCTCGTCTTGGGGTGAAAGTTGTGACTCCTGGATGTTTGATGAGTGTTTTCGTGAAAGGATGGATGGGAACATGGAAACACTTGTTCAGCTTCCTCTTCTGCTCTGAATAACGAGATGTGCTATCCTCAATTCATTTAGAGTGGTATTTTAGTTTTCTGAGATGAAAATAGTTTGATTGAGTAACTCACCTCGTCGTAAATGTAGGCTCTCATCTTGAAGAGGTTGAAGATTAGAGCTTGCTGTTTATGTAGAAGTGGTTGGTTGATGGGTTGGTCGAGTTTGGTAAGTTGGTTGTCCGCGGCCAAACACAGCCACAAGTGCACATCCTCCGCTTCGGGGGGCAGCAGCGACCCAGCATCCTGGCCCCCGGAAGGTCGTCAAAGCCAGCCAAGGCCCAAGGGCCAAGGCCCAATTGTAGCCATTAATTACAAGCAATAAATTACCGTTGGTTGTCACCTTCTTTTTTGGGGGCATTGGGCTGTTCCATTGGCTTGCAAGGATCATCCAACTCCTGTTTTCCTTCTTATCTCTAATTCCAACTTGATCCCTCAAATTGCAATTTGAATTCCAAAGAGATTGTGCAAAAAGCCTGCTTTAGTTTATCATTCTGATATGGTTAGGCTTTGCATTGAAATTTTCTGCACATTCACACTTAGAACTAGATTGCTCCTTATCAGACATAGCAAGAAATCCATGACAGCTGTTGACTATCCAAAAATAAATATTCTTGTCATTATCATTCATCATTAACACAGTGACTGCAGAAATGTTGACTACATTGGATTACACCTCCCAGACCAGTGCAGTTTGATTGGCCCATGAACATGGCAGGCTCATAACTGTTCATCTCAAAAGAGTGTGAGTTATTCCAAAGGGTTGCAGGTGGTTAATGCCTCCTTGCCAAAAACAAGCAAAAACTGAGGTTTTTTTTCACACCTCCTCATGTTATAGCATGACATGCCCTAGCATGACATGCCCTAGCATGCCTTGATGTGAAAGGTGCTCTTATTGACATGTGTGTGGAAAATATCTTGGTACTTATATACAATGTAAATCTACATGTTTGAGATCAGTGCAAAGATGATGAAAAAACAAAACTATGAGATGGGATTCTGTCCAGGTTTGAGGTATCAGCTAGTCTCCCAGCAACTGATGTGAGGTGGTTTCTTTACATCCAGCAATCGGTACAGACTTTTGTTTTCAAAAAGGGACGCTTTCAGTTTCTACGGTGTTGCTAGATTGAAGTGCAAAGAGACTCACGATAGTTATCTGTATTGTCCTTGCTCGCAGTATACGGGCAGTTATACCAAAGTTGAGTGCTACTGTCAAAGGCAGCTACAATCCAAAGAAAATTGCTTTCAGTAACCTCTTGAGTTCTACTCAAACAATTATCAAAGATACATACCAACATATCCGAATTTGCCTGGGAGCCATTTATCGTCACCAGAAGGGTAATGGTGATAGTTACGTGGATGTACTACACCGTTTTTTGGTACTCCGTCATGTACACAACCTGAAAACGCAAGTTTACCGACTGTGAGTGGTTCCAAGCGAGATCGAAGGCCAAAAAAAAAGAGACAAAGGGTTAGTAATCTTTCGCCAAACGGCGTTGATGATCATTGATAGAACGGATTATTCAGTCCCCACTCACAAGGGCGGTCCGGATGGTCAAATGACTTGCAGGATGTTTTCCTGCAGTTGAACTTTGTCTGGGAGTCAAACCAGCAGGCTAAGATGGTTTGAGAGAATGTTCAACTAGAGTTAGGACTTCAATCCTGCACGGACATGAAAATATGTTTGTGAGTCATGTGTGTATGGATTCTTACAGGCAGTTGGATTTCCGTATACGCTGTCGAAGTGCGGCATGCAACTAACCTCTGGATATCGATATAGACCATCAACAAGTGTAAGCTGACCAAGGTGGAAGATGATGATAGTGGGCAAGAAAGCCAGACCGATGTATATCTTCTGGAAGGAATTCATGGGGAACATTGCAATAAGGGATTTATTTAGTCTCTAGACAAGGTGAATCGACGCCAAAGGTCTGCTTGGAGCTTTGGATAGTGGGAAAATGGGATGAATGTACGGACGCGGGACTGCACAGAACAGAGTATTTATGACCTGCTGGTGCCAGCTGTCTCCCCAAAAACGCTGAGTTAGACACTCTTTAAAATTAACTTCATCCAGTCGCCATACAGCTCGGGCTGATCTAAACGCTTGTTTTGATCTCAAGTATTGGCACATACACCCTATCATATCATGGGACCCCCACGACGACTCATTGCCTGCATTTCATCACAGGACATCACCCCTCTACCAAAAAAAGAAATACATGTCACAACCATCCCTGAGATCACGGACCCTCGGACGATTCGTGAGGTCTAAAATTCTCCCAAAACTTTCGCCAGGCGCACCTCTAGTGTAACAGATGACCACCCGGCCAAGTATTCACTACATATCCAAGCAACACTCGCATATCACGGGTTGGCGCGAAGAGTCCCTCGTAACGCGATGAGAATGCAGACGAATAATACCAGCTATGACATGTCAAGTTCTCCGGAGGCATACCCGGACCCCAGCTGATAGGGTCGCATAGAGGCACATCCAGTTCATCCATAGCAAGGGCAATGATTGGACTTTCCTCTATAAATTTGTTCACCATGTCAATTACCACGGACTTTACAAAAAAAAAGATGTATTTATATACGGTGACATACTATTATGCTATCAAACACGGCGGGCCGGGCCGGGTAGCATCTGCGCCCCTCGTTTAGGTCCGACTGTTCTTTGTTGACCCCTGGGTATTATGTTAATACAATGTAGACACAACATAGAATGATCTCTAGGATTTAGGAAAGGTATAAAACTGATTCAGCGTTTGTACATTTATTGATTGCATGATACCGGGCTGGAGGATTGGGGTGATTTGAGGATGACTTCTGATGTCTTACAAGTTTCAACGGTCAGAAAATGTGATGTTTTTTTTGACTCATGTTATGGCCAGTGAGGACAATCAGAGTGACGTTGGTTGATGAGAATGATGTTGAGAAATAATGTAAGTTTGATGAGAAATGTGAGGAATTGATCGGCGCGTAATTTGGAATCGGCGCTATTCTTTTCGGATTTTTTAAGTGAACCCTTGTTTGATTGAGAGTGAACAGCACAAAGAGATGAAAAAAGACAATCACATCAAAAAAAGGCTAAAATTAACAACATGGTGCGGGGAGGGTTGGATAGAGTAGGATGATAACAGAGCAAAAGATCGCTGGTTTCTGTCCTGAATCTCCCTTACGAGCTCGGCGGCTCGCGTTCCTCCACTTCAGCCAATATTTTGATCCCTGGTTTTTTGAGGATGTTGCTGACTGAAATCTGATATCATTGAAGATCTCTGTAAGATTACTAACCAATGGAGTTTTTTTATTCCGCTAACAAAGCCAATGCCATGGGCCTTGGTTAATCGACTCCCAAATTTGGGAGTCGTTGAGAGCTTTTTTTCAAAAAGCATATGCTTTGTCTTTAGTGTTGCAACATTTTTTGTTTGTTTGAAGCATTCTTAAATCTACCGCGCTGGCTATTCTTTTTTTTACAAAAACACCTTACATTGTTCTATGTAGCCCCAGAATCTTTCCCAAACACTTGACTTTTACGGATCAGTGGAGGACTTCCCGTCGAATCGGGGACCCTCACAGATGTTGATTTAGACCTTAAAAGTCTAGATTTTTGCGGCAAAATCTAGCTTTTGAGGCTTCAAATCACTTCTGGGAGACCCGCAGATGTTAACGGGATGTCTTCCAGTCCAAGTTGCATCACTTGTGCAAGAGTATTGAAGACATCCCACAATTATTTCAGTACATGCACTGAATAAATTCTTGGACATATTTTGACAAGTCAATGGTATTCATTGGAACAGCGTTTCCACCCTGCACACAACACTCATGAAAATTCACTGATCACAGGCCATTTATCCTACATCTGCAAACATTTAATTCCACTTGCCTTAGCTTTGTTTATTCCCATGTCTCACCTATGTATCCACACAAGGATATTAAAATCACCAGCACAAGCAGGGCCAAATCGAGGGAAAAAGGCATTTTTCATGCACTCACCAAACATTCACAAAACTTGTATTTGCTTTTACTGGAATCATATAGTTTATAAGAAGAAACAAAGTAAAGATAATTTGTACTATTTTGTGACTAGATAATTTGACTGATCATTACCACCACTCAAACTCCCTGATCCTTCCAGCCGATGAAAAGAAAGAAAAAATACCGCTTGAGACTTGAGGATTATATACTGTATAAACTTACCATGACAGATGTTAAATAGTACGAATTCATCAATTAAAAAAATAATCTCAAACAATCACAAGATTCCCCAAGGAAAAAAGTTGACCAACTCACAACAGAATCAAAAACCAAAAGAATAGGGGGAGGGGGCGAAGATCAATGATCACTGTCGTCACTAGTGGCCCGTCTTTTGCCGTGCTTGATCTCGGCTCTGCGGTGCCGATCTCTAGAGGCTCCTCTCGCACGATATTCAGAATCGGGTCGACGGTGGTCAGTGACCTGACTTGGTCTTCTTGGAGAGCGATTGCCAGTTTTCGAGTTTCGTCTAGGACTGGATGGGGTTAGGGCTCTCTCGGGCTGACGCGAAGGGGATCGTGCTCCCCTATGATCTCGTCGAGCTGCATACTTTCGCCGGGGGCTGGTCGGGGTTCGGGATCGATGGGACCTAGCTAGAGGAGATCTTGAACGTCTACGATGACGGGGCGCTGGATGACTTTCTCTGGGACTGTGCGAAGTGCGGGGTCTATCTGATCTGTGAGGTGACCTGGAGGGACTGCGATCATCTTCAGATGGAGATCTACGCCTGGGACTCGGTGGAGCTCGTGATCCAGCACTTTTCCGGTTGGGAGGCGACCTGGAACGACTAAGATCGCGATCTCTCGAGGGAAATCTTCGCCTGGAACTTACTGGAGCCTCTGATTCGACTCCTTTGCGACCGGGAGGAGACCTGGAACGACTGTGATCGCGATCAACCGAGGCAAACCTTCGCCTAGGGCTGGTCGGAGGGCGAGATCCAGCAAGCTTTCGTCTGGGTGGAGAACGGGAACGACTGCGATCTTCTGATGGAATTCTTCGCCTAGGATCAGATGGCACACGTGATCCATTAGCTTTTCTGGGAGGAGGAGACCGAGAACGACTGCGATCACGATCTTCCGAGTGAAATCTTCGCCTGGGGCTGAGTGGAATTCGGGATTCAGCATTTTTTTCAGGAGGAGACCGAGACCGAGACCGATTGCGTTCATCAGAGGGAAATCTGCGTCTGGGGCTAGGTGGAGCACGAGAGCCATTAGCGTTTCTAGGAGGAGGAGACCTGGAACGACTGTCCGAAGGGGACCTTCGCCTGGAATCTACTGCAGTTCGTGATCTGACGGGTTTTTGAGAGGGTGATCTGGAGAGGCGATATTCAGCCGAAGGAGACTTGTCTCCCCTCGAGCTCGGTGGAGTCTGGGATCCGATTGGTTTGCGCGAGACAGATCTCGAACGATGAGGATGCCGACGTGGTGGAGTGACTGGTTTTCTCAATTTGGAGGGAGGACTATAGGCGCGCTTGGCTTTCTTGCGCTTATGTCTCGCAGTCTCACTCGAATCGGAACTTGTCGATGAGTGCGAATCAGAATCAGATGACGTGGAAGATGCACTCGAAGATCTTGAGTCTGAGGACGAGTCTGAATCTGAGCTCGAGTCTGAGTCTGAATCGGAATCTGAAGAGTCGGTGGATGATGACGAGGTATCTGAGCTCGTGGTAGATTTCGTCCTTCTGATGACAGGGACCAGTTCGTAATCGATGGTTAGCCAAATCAAGGATGCATGCGATGGAACAACTGATGATTACTTACTTTTTGGATGATTTGGCAACCGGGGGGTTCGAAATGGCCTCTTGTCTCTTAAGTTCATTGGTGGCCAATATTTTCTCGGCGATTCCCTTCTTTGTTAAGAATTCCTCTGGGACTTCAACCGATGGGGTATCTCGTTGTGGCTTTGGGTTAAGTAATTGTTGAGTACGCGACGGCCGGGCCTTGTAGGGAGCTTGAGTGGCAGGACACTGTAAGAAGAGAGGAAGTTAGAGTTGTGACCAGGTGACGTTTTTGGTAGAGATGAGGGTGGATGCGTACATTGTAGGTAAAATGACTGAAGCCGAAAGCGAAGCAACGGATGAGCCTGGGAGAGGTTGATTGGATGGAAGGAAGGAGAGATTTGGCTTACCCGAATTTTTCGCACTTCTGACAGCGAGTCGAGCTAGATGCTTTCCCCGAGCTGGTGCTACCACGAGTATATTTAGCTTTGACCTGAGCTGGCCCTGGTTTCGAGGATTGTTTTCTTCGTTCGTCCGCGTCATTGAGCTTGGGCATCGACTTGATGTACTGATTTTCTTAGATGCAATCAGTTTGGATTGGTATAAATTCCAGTTTGATTTTCGAATGACTTACGTTGCCGAACATGTTTGTGTTTGTTTTTTGGGTTGAATGCGTTCTGAGTGTGATGGTTTTTTGGGAAGAACTTGAGGTGGTGGTCCAAGCCGATCGGCAAGTTGAAGGCTGTGAAGACATATGTGCAAAAGTCCAAAAAGGTAGGTTAAACCCCCACTTTGAATAAAAGCTGATTTAACCTCCTTGAGATTTGAATACAAGCCACCGAGCAATCTTCAATGCAAGTTAACCAACCCCCAACTGACAATAACCTCACGCTTCCAGGTAACCATATCGGTAAGTATGGATACATATTTAGAATGGATTGAGCCTTAGGCCAATTTCTATCTGGGTGTGTTGATAGGCTGATGGATTTATTTTGAGATTCACAAGAAGCAGATGGTCATGGCATAAGGACAGCTGATCTGAAAGGGCAGCCATCAACTAAACAACTGGGGATGCCATCATCTCTGTCAGCTCTGGTCTCTTATGTGACCTAGAGTTGATGGGTTTGGTCACACTTTAGCCAAAAGGGCCAGTGGAATTAAGCCTCTCCTCAACACTAATACAGTGGAGGGGCTAGCTCCTTATAAGAATAAGGGACAACTGTGGGATGAGCTTCACAGTGCCTGAGCTGAAGGATTATAAGGAAATTGATGTTTGTACTAGTCTTATAAGTTAAATATGTAACTTATAAGGCTAGTAAGAAGATAAAGAGAAATGTAATAACTAAGGTACAATAATTTACTGTAAAAACCCCACTCACTAAGTTGTTTGTAATAACTAGTAAGGCACTTGGGTTTGTATGGTAATATTGTCTGGGGGATGAATCTCAGGGGGAGAGCCATCCTCTTAAATATTACAGAGCAGGGGTCAATCTGCTGCTGGGACCGGTGCAGTCCCCTTATTGGTACACTTTTCCTTGGGGGAAAGTGTCAGGATATTCAGAGCATGTTAAATGTACATGTGATGAATATCCTTTATTTCAGAAAATACCATAAGAGAGATAAACATAATAAACATACACACAAGAGAGGTAAATTGGATAATCATCTCTTGGATACACCCAGGAGATAATTATCCTTTTCAACTTGATTATAATTTTCATGGAAGAGGTAAATTAATAAAGAGGTGAATCTTTATTAATTTACAGAATAATTATTAACATAAAAAATACATGTAAAAAGGGATAACATTACTTAATAATTATTAACTTAAAGATTACACATAATAATAATTGTTATGTAACCCAAGGGGGTTACATTCTATTGTAGACACCTGGGCTAGTGTCTCAGTGTCTGACATTCGCCCCCACCAAAAGGAAAATTCCATCAGGAATTTTTCGATCTTTTGGTAGCTCTAAACCTTCTCAACAAGACTTGACAGTTGTCTATTTTATCAGTTTCTAGCCACAAGTCTTGATCAGGCTGACAATCTTTAAATCTTACTAAGTATAACTTGCAGTCTTTGCCATTTTTCCTTACAACTTTTTCTTTTAAGATTTTTGTTGCAGTTTTTGGTACAGTCTCATCTGTCATGGGAGGAGCAATGACTTCATTAGATGACCGGTCAAAACTATTATCTTGAACAATGTATTTTTTGCAAAGACTTATAGGAAACGTAGGATGTCTCTGACTAAATTCTTCTGTTAAAATAACCTCAACAGCATTTCTACCGTGAAATTGTTTAATAACAAATGGTCCTATGAAAGCATCTTTTAGTTTTCGAGGTCCCCCTAAGTTATTGAAATTTACTGTAGAGATAAGAACTAAGTCACCAATTTTCAAATCATGGTCTCTATGAGTTTTATCCCATCTCTCCTTGTTATAATCAGCAGCCTCTTTAACACAGAGAGCAGCTTTTTCTTCTGCTTGGAACATCATTTTTTGAAAACACTCTGAACTGGGGTGTAATTCAATTGTCTTGGAAAGCAGAAAGTCCTTTGGCATGTGAGGAATCCATCCTCTCTCAAGTTCAAAAGGAGTCATGCCTGTGACAGAATATTTACTAGAATTGTAAGCAAATTCTAGTGCTGGTAGAAGAGAAACCCAGTCATGAGTGTAACCATCACTAGTCTTGAAGTCAATTCCGTATGCGCAATACCTCCTGATCATGTCTTCAAGAGTCTGGATCATCCTTTCTGCTAGTCCATCAGTTTGAGGGTGATAAGCTGTAGAAAAAGCTAACTTAGTGCCTAAAATTTCAAACAAATTTTGCCAAAAATCTGATGTAAATTTAGGATCTCTGTCACTGATGATGATTCTTGGACATCCAACATCACTGACAATATTATTCCAAAAGATAAGTGCTATATCCATTGCACTACTATCTTTATAGCAAGGCAGGAATCTTGCTCTTTTGGAAAACCTATCACAGACTACCAACACAGCATTATAGTTTTCTGGTCCTGCTGAAGGAAGGGCTGTAACAAAGTCCATATTGATAATTTCCCACCTTGATTTTGGCTCATCAATTGTTTGTAACAAGCCAAAGCGTTTTCCTGTAGCTTTATTGGCTTTTTGACACCTGTCGCAAGAGTCACAGTAATCTGACACCTGATTTTTCCAATCCGGCCACCAAGCCAGACCCTGGACTCTATTTAGAGTTCTTTCTTTGGAAAAGTGGCCAGAAGTGATACTGTCGTGGCACTCATTCAAAATTATACTGATGTGACTGGGGTCAATAAGCACTACCGAGGAGTTGTGTTCACGCCTGTGGTACAATAATTTGTCTAACAAAACAAATCTGTTTTCCAAGAAATGTTTTTTCCAAATTCCTTCAAGTCCTTCAATTAGACCTTTATCTGGGTAAGGTGACTTGAGTAATTTGACTAAAATTACGGTATTCTTGTTAGATTCATAGCTTTTCTCTATTAATTCCCAAAAGGATGATGACAATCCAGATATAGAAATAGCCATAATAGGATTAGTGTCAACAAAAGACTCTTTTTCAAAAGCTGGATTGCTCTCATCATTTGGTAAAGCCCAATGTGCAAGACACTCAGACATCCTCATGTTAAAAGGCAAAATATCCAGAACTGGTGAACCTGTTTCAGCTTCTTCAGCATCATAAGCAGGATTATTAGGGTCATTTGGCAAAGCCCATCTAGAAAGTCCGTCTGCATTTTTATGCACTATACCTTCTCTGTGAACAATTGTCATAGATCCTCTCCATTCTTGGATAGCAATTTGCCAACGGAGCATATGCCTATTGGGTGTTTTCATGTTCAATAAAGACCTAAGTGCATTACAATCTGTGATGACATCGAACTCACAACCATCCAGATAGTAATACAACTTATCCAAGGCCCATACTAGACAGAGACATTCAAGTTGAGAAGCACCGTACTTCTTCTCAGAATCTTTGAGTTGTCTTGAAATGAAACAAATTGGTCCTTCTACAGGTTTGTCATTGATGGTTTGTACTTGATGCAAAGCCGCACCAATACCTTCCATGCACGCATCAACATACAATTTAAACCTTTCTTTTGGATCAGGGTGAAACAATAGGGGAGCATTTGTTAAAGCAAACTTAAGGGACTCATAAGCTTCAACTCTTTCAGCAGTCATTTCAAATACTACACTGGGGCTACAGAGTTTATAAAGACTAGAGGCCATGGACCCAAAATTCTTTATATGCAACCTATAGTATCCAGCAAAACCAAGGAACATTTGCATTTCTTTGACATTTTGAGGTGTAGGTTTGAGCAATACTGCTGCTACTCTATGTTTGTCAATTTCTAAAGACAAACCACTCACTATATGTCCCAAAGCTTTCAGCTCCGAAAATCCAAACTGGCACTTAGCCAGTGAAATCTTCATATTCATTTTGATGACCTTATCTAGTACTGTACTTAACCTATCTAAGTGGTCATTCCAATTATCTGAGAAAATAATAATGTCATCTATATAAATAATGAGCCACAATTGGCTTAGCTCATTTGCAAATTCTGTGTCCATCATTCTCTGAAAGTGAGATGGCGCATTTTTTATGCCAAAAGGCATCCTAAGATATTCATAGATACCAAGATGACAAACTATTCTCAAGAATTGTCTGCTATCTTCATGAATAACATTTTGATGGAATCCTTTGAGTACATCCATACAAGTAATATACTTTGCTTTATGTAATTTACTTAAAGATTCCATTATCTTAGGCATAGGGTACCTATCAGGATTAGTGTAGCTGTTCAGAGCTCTGAAGTCACCAACAAGTCTAGATTTATTATTGTGCCAAGCAATTATTACCGGAGTGGTAATATCCACATTCTCATTTGCACCTACCTTTCTAATGACTTTCAGCTTAAGTAAAGCCTCTATATGTTCGGCTAAAGCTTCTCTGCTCCTTGGACTAGCCGGATAAGGTGCTTTTCTTAAGACTGGTGGGTATGGTTTATCAATGTTCAAAGTCAACTTCACCTCATGACCTTTGATTGCACCAAAGGGCTCTTCCACCGTAGCAAAAGCCTGTCTTTTGGCAAAGAGCAATTGAAGGAGTTGATCCTTTGCTTTGCTTGGCAGTTCAGGATTTATTCTTGAGCTGTCTTTTACCTCCTGTAAAAATGAGGACTCAGAAGTATTTCCTGACGCAACTAATTTAGACTTATTGTTGCCAAATGTGTATTTGACATTACTGGAACCAATTTTAAAGTAGCTACCTTTATCATTCATAATAGAAATTTTAAAATGGCTCAAGTAATCATTTCCTAGAATGAAATAATTTACCAAGGCATTTTCAATGACTATAAAATCCACATGTAACTTGTGGTCTTTAAATTCCAGAATAACTTTGACTACACCTAGTGTAGTCAATTGGTCTGAGCAGCTATGGAATTTATCAGTAGTGGTAGAAATAATAAATTTCTTCCAATCAGGACAGAACTTACTCAAATAGTTCATTCCCACTACTGACTTAAAAGCACCAGAATCTAGCAGTACGTTACACGGCTTGTGACAACAAATCATTTGCACTATTCTATTACTGCCTGAAACAGGGGAAATAAAATAATCTACAGAAGTAGTATTTATACACACAATATCTGGATTATGATCTTGCTGCTCAGCATCACTTTCTGAATCAATACCAGCATCATTATTACTTTCATCACCAATAGCTACAACTTTCTTAGCCTTTTTCGGACAGTTCCTAGAGGTATGTCCTACTTTATCACAAGAATAACACTTAAGGTCTGAATTTTGTTTGGATTCCTTAACCTTATCCAAGCCATTATTACTAGTGTACTGCTTGTTACCAAGGCCATAAGATGGTCGTCTCTTACCTATATTGGTGTATTCTGTAATATCTTCTAAAGCATTAATTAATGAAGTCAGAGTTTGGCCATCTTTCATTGCATTTTGTGCCGCAAAGCTGACTTCTCCGTCCATTTGGGTCAGAAGTTTAAACATAAGGCTTTCATGGTTAGTTTGTGGCTCACATGCCATGATTCTTGTGTACTGTCTTGTGACCCAAGCTGCTGCTTGGGTACTCCCTGGTATAAATCTATCCTTTTGATAATTAGTCAAAAGTTTTCTTCTCCAGGCTGGAGTACCATATTTTTTATGAAGGGCTTTTTTCCAGAAAGCCCAAGACTGATTTCCTACTATAGCTCTCACCGTGGCGTACCATTGCTCTGCTGACCCTGTGAACATATTCATCAATTTTGTAATGATAACCGCATCTTCTATATGACAGTCTTCTTGGATAGTATCAATTTTCTTGATAAAGTCCACATGGTTATACTCACCATCTCCAGAAAAGCTAGGCCATGCTTCTATTTTAGACAAACCTTGCATGATAATCTTACTTGTTTCATGGGACATCTGAGGTTTAGTAACTGGTACTGTCTCATCTTTCACTGAGGGAACTTCAAAAAATTCACTTAGTCTTCCAGGATCAAGATCTGTAGTTTGTTTTCTAGTTTCAAAGAATTCAGCATTATTATTGTTTACAGTCATTTGTGGATTTGGTCTAGACCCCTCTGGAGCATAAGACATTTTTGGTCCGGCAGTAGAACTGGTTTCACGGTTGTGCCCTACCTGTTCACTGGGTACTACAGTGGGGGATTTCAATCCATCAAATTTTGCCATCAATGTGTTGAATCTCTTCTCATTATTGTTTTCTATAACCAACAATTTAGCATTGATGTCTGCAATTGGCTGTTCATTCAAGTTAATAAGGTAGTCTATCTTCTCATTAACTTCTCTGAGTAATTCATGCTCCAACTTAAGCTCAGAGATTTTTGCGTGACAAGAACAAATATTATTAGCGTTCAATTGTTGGTCTTGTAATAGCACGTCAGGCGCACTAGGATGACAACTTTCTTTCCCTTTACCCTTGTCTTTGTCTTTTGTAGGAAACAAGTCAGGTGACTCTTTACTTGGTTCAGTAGATTCCAATTTTGAAGAAGGTCCAACTTCAGGATGAGGAGTCAATTTATTGGTCAATTTCTCAAAGAAATTGTCAGTCTTATTTTTGTTTTCTTCCAATTTATCATAAACAAGACTAAAAAGATTGTCAAAAGCTCTTTTGGACAAATCTTCTCTATTACTGAGGGCCATCACAATATTTTTAATTTCTTTAATATTATGGGACTCAGAAGAGTTGGAAAGCATATTACTAAGATTAGACAATTTATTATGAAGAGAATTAAAATCAGACTCTGAAGCTGACCATTTTTTTGCTGAAGCTTCTATTTGTGGGAGGGTTCTAAGAATATTTTGTAACATGGCAATAGAGTTTTCAGAAGAAAATAATAGTGACTTGAATTTTGGATCAAAGGTGTCAAATTGATGACTCAATTGATTAGCTATACCTACAGTGACGTCTGAGTTAATCTGTTTAGATAGCAAAGCCACATTATTATCAACAATTTTTTCTATGCTGAGGAAAAGTTTTTGTAGAATTGCTACTAACTCTTCAGATGTTAATTTCTTGGAGTCTGTGCGTCCTCTCGGGGTTGATGACGACTCCCGCCCCCTGCGTTCTGATTTCTCATGGACTCTAGCGCCTGATACTGAGCCTGAGTCGTACGGCTGAGTCTTATCATTTCCTGGTGAATGGAAAGCTGATGGGCTCGTCGACGTCTCTCCCTGGCGCTTACTGAGTTTGAGTCCGGAGGGGCTCGATTTGAGTTGGGAGGAGGGACCCAACTTGGTCCCTTTGCCTTTCTGTTGCGCGGGCGATTTCGATTGTTCTTCGGAGCTTGATCGCTTTCCCTCTTTCTTGTCGGTTGAGGAGGGGCCGACTGTTCCGCCTGGGGAACTAGGTTGTTTACCATCTGCTGAGGCGGGTAATACCCCTGCTGGAAAGTCGAGTACTCCTGGTTGTAACTCTGTTGGGGCCAGTATTGAGCCTGCGGATTTGGGTTCATCGGCGGGTACGGGTAGTAATACCCGTTCGGATGGTAATACATCTGTGATTGAGGCTGATGTTCTGTCTGCTGCCCTGGAGGGTGGGCTTGAGGCATTCCTGTTTCCTGAGGTTGCATTTGGACTTCCGGAGAAGGGGTCGGCGTCACTTCGGCGCCTCTCTCCTTCAGGAAGTTCCTGCCCTTCTGAGTGTTCAGGTACTCGTCGAATTCCAACTTCAGATTCCAGTTGAAGATATTCAGGAACTCCTCCTGACCGATTGAGCGCAGTAGATCGGTCTGGAGCTCCGACGCCAATCTGAGAGCTACTACTTTCAGGTCCTCGTCTTTCGTCCTCTCCGCTCGACGGAAGTACTCTTGATTTAGCTTCACCGCCTGAAGAAGCGGATGATACGCTGGGCGATATTTTAGCAGAATGTCGTCCCCTAGGGGCGCCGGTAAAGTCTTTGGCTTCGACCAAAGCTGGGCGGTGGCTCCTAGTACGAGACATTGTCAGTTGGAAACTGTAAAAGTTTATTAAGTTTGATACAGGGTTAAACTGACCTGTGATAATATCTAGATCGCTACCTTCACTGGGTAGAACTGAGTCTGAGGTGGTAGAGCCACAAGGGTGATCGGATGATCTAGAGGAAACTGATCGGACAGTTCGACCTTGAGGGACAAAATAGTTGTCTAGCACTTTCTGGGTAGTTCGCTCGACCGGTTGGTTGAAGGTCGTAGGACCTTGTAACAAGGTCTTAGCTGCTTCGGATACCGTATCGACTCGAACAGAGACTTCGCTCTTACGAGGTGCTTGGTCGGTCGAGGTCTCTGCAGCGTTATTGACTGTCTTAGCTAGAGGTTCTCGATCCAACTTCTTGAAGCTAAGATGGCTGATTGAGTCCTTGTCGATGAGTTTGGAAGGCTTCTCGTTACTCTTAAAGGGATCAGTGATCGGTAACGGATCGTTAGACTTGGCAGGTACCGTCAACTTCTTTTTAGCTGGAAGAGATGTTGCCTGAGTTTTTTCGGTCGACTCGAGTCGATCAGCAGGAGTCGCTGGAGGTGCAATCGGCCCGTCGCTGGTAAGAGTCTTAGGTCTAGAAGCTGATTTAACCGGTTTCTTTACCACGGTCGCTGCAGTCTTTCTGGTTTCGGATTTCGAGGATAAGTTGGACTCGTCCCACTCGGACGGCACCTCTTCTGGACTCTTAGGTTGCTTCTTCACTTTCTTAACGACTGTTTTGACCGTCTTAGTCGTCTTACTGGGCTCCGAACGAGTTCCTTCTGAAGCCGAAACTGCTTCGGAGTAAGTCTTAGCTGGAGAGACCTTGGATTGATCGGAGTTCGACACTGCCGTTCAGCGGACAAGATACAGAACAGCGAGTCAGTTATGGATAAACCTACTATCAGCTTGTAAGTCAATATCGATAGACTCACTTGTTTTGATAGTTAGAATAGTATAACTTCTTGACCGTTGAACGTCTGCAATCGAGTGGTTGCGCTGAGATCGAAGACGTCTGGTGAATACTCGCGTATGGATCTGTTGTGAGCGTAAAGAAAGGGGTTGATTTATTTCTGACTCAGGATTAGAGTTAAGGAAAGGCCTAACTCGACACACCTATTTTAATTCAGAGGGATGAGTCTGAAAGGGGTGGAGTGATGCTCGGAGTACTGATCTGGAAAAAAGGAAAATTCAACAGATCAGTAATTATTCTAGAAGAGAGAATAATTTTATTATTTTTTCTGTAAGGGAAGAAAAAATATAAATCTTAATAATGGTGGTACACCGGAAAAATAATTTCCCGGCCAGACCCCCAGTTGTCAGCTCTGGTCTCTTATGTGACCTAGAGTTGATGGGTTTGGTCACACTTTAGCCAAAAGGGCCAGTGGAATTAAGCCTCTCCTCAACACTAATACAGTGGAGGGGCTAGCTCCTTATAAGAATAAGGGACAACTGTGGGATGAGCTTCACAGTGCCTGAGCTGAAGGATTATAAGGAAATTGATGTTTGTACTAGTCTTATAAGTTAAATATGTAACTTATAAGGCTAGTAAGAAGATAAAGAGAAATGTAATAACTAAGGTACAATAATTTACTGTAAAAACCCCACTCACTAAGTTGTTTGTAATAACTAGTAAGGCACTTGGGTTTGTATGGTAATATTGTCTGGGGGATGAATCTCAGGGGGAGAGCCATCCTCTTAAATATTACAGAGCAGGGGTCAATCTGCTGCTGGGACCGGTGCAGTCCCCTTATTGGTACACTTTTCCTTGGGGGAAAGTGTCAGGATATTCAGAGCATGTTAAATGTACATGTGATGAATATCCTTTATTTCAGAAAATACCATAAGAGAGATAAACATAATAAACATACACACAAGAGAGGTAAATTGGATAATCATCTCTTGGATACACCCAGGAGATAATTATCCTTTTCAACTTGATTATAATTTTCATGGAAGAGGTAAATTAATAAAGAGGTGAATCTTTATTAATTTACAGAATAATTATTAACATAAAAAATACATGTAAAAAGGGATAACATTACTTAATAATTATTAACTTAAAGATTACACATAATAATAATTGTTATGTAACCCAAGGGGGTTACATTCTATTGTAGACACCTGGGCTAGTGTCTCAGTGTCTGACAATCTCAATCCTCAAAACCAACCCGCTTTTTCACATAAGCTGCACTTCCCGTGAAAAAATCTTGTACGTGCACTATTTAAAAGTGGCTAGGGTGAACTTGGAGGGACAACTCTTGTGGATGTCTATATACAAATACACCACCTGTTTATCAATAGTCTGAAATGATCCAAGTAAGGGATAAATACTAGTAAAGCATTTCAAAAGTGTTGTACGTACCATTATTATCAATGAGATTTCAGGAAAAACAAAGAGATTATTTGCACAAATTTGAAATCAGCTTACCCATATTCTGATGTGGTGGCTCTGGCCCTTTCATTGAGGTGGAGATTTCCCCCTCAAAAATTTCCATTCCAATCCAATGGTTTCAAACAAATAAACTCTATTTGAAGCTGGAAATAGATAGGAAACTCTGTGGAATTGTAGAAACAACTGGACATTGATGATATTGATTGCCACAAATTGTAAATGGCAGATTTGTCAGAATATGTCATGGGGTGTTCTCAAGAGCTAATTGATTCAAACCCTCTAAAATGTAGTGTTAATAATTACAATACAGGGCTTGTCAGCTGTTGGATCAGATCCAATGAGTTTCACTCACACCTCTATTCATTACATCCAAGATTAGGTTCCACTCAGTATTTAGAGTTTTGTCCCCCAAGCCTAAACCGATTTTTTAAGCATAGCTCTATTTATACGGTAGAATGTCTCATACCACAATTGACCCTAAAGAAGGAAACAATGCTTTCTCAAGATTGGTTTGGGTACCCAGTTGATTATCCCCTTGAATCAGAGCATGAGTTTGGCCAATACAGAAAAAATTATGAATGAACCAGGATCTCACCCTTGTTCAGCCTGTCTAATTTATGAGTTACCTGGGAAAATACCCAAGCCCCAGTGGTACTCAGACATGCACTGCCTTGGCATGTGCCCATAAAGGCTTGATGCTTTATGTGTGGGTAGACTAGAAATGTTTGTCTTCTTTTCTTGCATGATCAGTTTGGATTGCTTGTTCTGATATAATCTATGCTAGTCAGTTCTTCTGGCTGATGTTCTTGTTATATCTGGGGGCTGATAGATCTTTTGAGTGGTGATTACATAATCAGACTAATTTTGAGAACTACACACAAATTATCAAGTTTTTCTGATGATTGACTATTTATTGTCAACCAGTCTGTTCTCACAACAAATACAAATCCATTTTTTTTCTTGCCTCACTGCCCCTTCCCCATGAGAATATCAAAGCATGGATAAAATCATAGGGAGGTCAACAAATGGACCTTACTCAGTACATGTCTGATTAATCCCAAGATTAAGGCAATGTGTCTTTTTGGTGCAATAAACTTGTAGCCATGCATACACATGTTTTTCAGCCATTCTGATCCAACTTTTTTTTCTCCCTTCTTCCCCAAAATTCAATTGGTGATGATGTTGACTTTCTATTTCTCATGCCTTGTTTTTTATACATACAACACACTCAACAGACTATACAGTCTGGCCAGGTTGGTCCTCGAGTATGTCACTTTCTTACCTTTGAAAAAGGGTGGGACCAAATATCCAACTGTATCCATCGACATTTAGCTCACCATCCACCTCCTCAAACAGGGTTAAGCAGGGCTAACACACATGTAGACAGAATTTGGATGGACATAATGGGGGAAGATGAATGAATCAACACAAAAGGTCTTTCCATTTTTTATATAAAAAACATAGGGTCATAAAGGTAAATCTAGCATGAAGATCTTAGTCTCAAAGATTTTCAGAAAGTGATAAATGAGTTACCGTAGCGGCGAGCTGATCAACAGGCTCTTCGGGCTGTTGGTTTTCTTGAGGATTGGCTTGAAGTTGAGCGGTGTCGACTGGAGCGGGAAGTTTAGCCGGCAGCTTCTGGGATTCTTGACGTTCAGGGGATGTAGGGTTGGCTTGAGAGGATGAAGTGGCGTCAAGGACAGGAGAGCGCGTGTCCCGATGCGCTTGGCCTTTAATATCTTCTGGATCCAAAACTTTCCCCTCCATCTGATCCTTTCCTCTATCAGCCTCAATTTCAGGCTCGTCTTCTTGACTTGTACTACTCAGACTTTTTTCATGGGTTTGGATCTTACGCGACGGGTCATACAAGTCGAGTAATTGGTCCTATCACATCAACACCTCACGCATTTGTCAGTTCATCGCTTGAAATCGGGCATCGATGGGCGATTACTTAGATTATTTGAATGAAGAGAAGACAAGAGACAAAGCAGGAGAGTAAGTTACCTTCCAACCGAGCAAGTCACATAGTTCCTCGACCCCATCATCCGTGGTACCAAGCACCAAGACGTCTCGGATGAACTCCTTGCCTCCCCTTTGTATCCCTTCGAAATCAAATCCTCCTTGATCAGCTCCGCCTCCACGATGGCCGATGTCGCCAACCTTCTCGAGGTTGATGAGTAGGCGAGGACAGTTGATCGGCACAGTCGAGATCAGACTTGCGAAGGGTTGCACTTGAAGTGAGGTCCCAAGGACTATCAATAGATCTGCTTCCTGAAAATCCGTCAGACTGCCGAAAAACTTTTTCGGTAACTGTTCTCCAAAAAAACTGGCAAAATGTTGATTTCACAAAGGGGAGGTAGATGTTTATACATATATAATTACTTCAGTTGAGATCTTCCCGGAGGTTTTACATTCAATGTTGGGGAGATCGTAAGAACCTACACAATGTCGGGCTTAACCACTATTGAAGAAGAAACAAGTTACAATTAGTAAAACGCTTTCCAAGGTGAAAAAGGAGAAGAGAAAGATTGACAAGCAGTAGGTTTTCCTATGCATCTCTTTTCAGGACACTTGACGACGAGAGGATCAGGTGAGGAAATCTGATCGAGCTGATGCATAAACCGATCGTCGGACATCTCAGCGCGGCACACTATACAACGGTTCGTTGCAAATGAACCTGAGCAGTAAGCACAATCATCCCAAAAAATGAAAATAAAATAAGATCAACTGGCACGATGGGAACAACCACAAAAATTGTATGGGAATGGGGGGAACTCCAACCATGTGCCTCAACAATGAGATGATCAGAAAGACCAGCCAAGCGTTCCAAGGTATCGATATTCTGAGTGAAACATCTCTTTAATTTCTTTTTGGTCTCCAATAATTTGAAGAATTGGTGAGTTTTAGTCGGCCTGTAGTTCTTCGGATTTAGCTCTTTGGCTAATGTATAAAATGGCGCTGGGTTCTTCTTGAAGTCTTTTTTTTTGTTTTGAACGGATTTGAGATCGATCAAGTTGAGAGGAAAACAGACTGATGTCAGGAATGAAAGTGATCGTAGAAGCAGAAAGTATAAAGGAGCTGATATGTTTACATACAGTCGATGTCAAAAATAGCTTCAGGGTAAGGCAGGTTATATTTCTCCAACTAGAGAATATGAGAGTCCGTTTTTTTTAAATCAAGAATACAAACAGATCGTCGTGAACAAGCCATGTAAGATCTTTTGCGGAGGGTGATATGTAGAGCCGGATGAGCGGGGCAATATGTAATGGATAGATTGGAACTTGGAGAGTTAAAAAAATAGAAGAAGGGTATGTGGGCGTACGTTTGCATAGATCCCAGTCTCTGGTGAACGAAAATCAGGGATACCAGCGCTCGTCGAGATCCCTGCTCCAGCCTGGTCACCAAACAAAAAAAAAGAAATTTATCAATTAACACAACCACACATGTTGGGTTCAGAATTAGGAAATCAATGTGGCCAACCATAATGATAATGTTCTCGACTCGCCCGGATTTGATGAGGGTCGCAACATCGTCAAGATTGGCCAATCGTCTCCCATCGAGTCCATCGAACACTCTCCTTCTGATTTTAGGATCTTGTCGTTTGAATCGCATAGTTGAACTTTGAATTGCCTTGAAGAAGAGGGTTGGTTTTTTGGCAAACTGTATGCATCCGTTATCGTGGGCATTTATCAGGAGATGGGCCGGGTCGGGCCAAAGAATGGGGTCACCCGACCCGTGAATTAAAGATAAGGTTTTATATGCAATATGCGATATCATATTTACATAGTTAATTTCCTGTACATATTATCTTGAAATTCCGAAAGGAAGCTGAAGAATGCTGAAGGACCCTGGCTGCTGCAGAATTTCTCCGACCAAAAAAAAGGGAAAGAAGGAAACAAGTTTTGAAATGGAGATGTACGGTGTATGGGTGCTAATCAGCCCCATCCATGGTTTGCGCCTTGTTCCTGCTGAATCGTCCCACCAGAACTATCATCAGACCGACCCTCAAGATAAGCACACAAGCACGAAACCAAAAAGCCAAAAAAAATCGGGTTAAATCAAGATGGATTCAAGAAAACAGAATGAGAGAGAAGACTCGGAGCTCTCATCTATCGTGGAGGAATCTGGTGATGGCAATACGGAAGCAACGATCAGACAGACGCAAGAAGAAATCATGGCCGGAGCCACCAAGGGTGTTTATATTCCCCAGCGAGACAAGGATGAAGCGAGGGAGGCACGGAGGATCTTACGCGGATATGAGGAGAGAGCGAATGAGATGAAGGAGAACGCGAGCCTGACGACGGCTGAGGAGTTTGACCGCCAAGTACTTGGATTGGATGATGCCTTCAACACTCAAGTCCGGGCACCAGCCGACGCAACCATCGACTCTCGGGCATTAAGATTATACTCTGAAACTGGACTCAAGAAAGCCAAACTACTCAAGACGGATCTCAGGGGATTCGAGCCAGATGAATTCGTCTTCAGATTCAAACAGGTCATGGCACCATCCATCGTAGCCAGCTTGATGGGCGATGATGGTAATGGTCAGGATGGCTCAGAGGCAATCGATTGGTTCGAAGCTGGCAGGAGGCTCATGCCGTTCTCTCGGCGGGTCCCTACGATGGATTTGATGTAAATAAATATTTAAGCAAGTACACTCCATCTGCAGGTTTAAGCGGTGCTCATGAATTTTATCTTGACAGGTATGGTCCTCTAGGGATCCAACTGAAAAAGAGGAAACATTATCCACGAGGCTCACTGGAAAAACATGAATCAGAGCGAAAGGAACCAGAAGTAGTATGTACTTGAAATTTTGTTTTCAAAATTTCACTCATGGAGAGAACTTTTGATGGCTGATTATTTGGGGAAAAAATAAAACTAAATAGATAGATAGCAACGATATACAAAAGTCATCGAATGAAATGACAGGAATGATCAAACAAGTAATAAATTAATCTTACATCAGGATCATTGTCCCATCTAGTCTTACACCCTTTCATTTTTTTTTAACCTGAATATACAGATATTTGAGCTCCTTCCGGCCGAAATCAATCTCTTCCAGTTCTTCATCAACCCCGGTTCATTTGCCCAGTCGGTCGAAAACTTATTTTGTTTGAGTTTCCTAGTCAAGGATGGACGTGCTATCATCCAGACTCACGATGAACATCAAATCGAACGTGAATTCCCAGTTGTTTGTCAGTCAAGCCCTTCTTTTTTTTTCGGATACATAACTACTCGGAATATCTATTTGATTCTTTTTTTTCTTCTTCTTTTGTCAGCTTCTACTGAATCAGTAGGGCATGAAGTCCTTGAGAGAAACTTCACAAACGCCCAAATCATTTTGGAATTTACCATGCAAAACTGGGAGGATGCTATCGAGCTTTATGGAATTAAGAGTAGCATCATCCCTGATCGAAAGCAACCCACGAGTAGTGTTAGTCTTCTCCTTTTATTAACAGTTTCCAAACCACAACTTGAATGTAACACCTGCTTCGACCTTCTTTTTTCTTCTTTGATCAGGGAAAATGGCACTAGATTGATCAAGACATGGGGAAATTCTGGCAAGTGATGCCTTATTTGACATCGCTACAGCAATCGACGACATAAATCTACTTCTTCATAGCTTTGTACATCAGTAATTTTCAGTGAGAGAATCTCTCAGTCAATTTCATTTCTTGCACTATCAGATCCCTCGTCGCCCTCTTTTGACTACAGGTAATAACTATTCATGATGAATTTCTTACTATGTCGAGGTTCGAGGGACTTGAGCAGTTTCCAATAGACAGGCTGTTTATGTTTTGAGCAAAAAATGATCAAACTTTGATACAAAAATTATTCCTAGAGAGACCAGGTCGGATTTGAACTTTAGGAAACTTTAACGAAGATTTTGAATGATTTGAGTTAGTAGTTGGATCTGATTCAGTCGGGTGATCGATGGTGTTGGATTGAAGGTCTTCTTTTTCGAGTAACCAGTATGTTAGTTTAGATGAGTTATGTTGTTTGATCACCTTGAATCCTAAATAGTTCAAGATCATCCTGAATCGCTTGAAATCCAAATACCGAGAGTTATTCAAACATGCTAGTGGCAAGACGATAAACAGTTTTCCAGAAGGCTTCAAGAATCTTCGTGCTCTTTTGATCATCTCTCCTGTATATTTCAAGCAAAGAAAATTAGCAGATTGCTCAAACTTCGGGAATAAGCCTCACGGGGGGGGGGTAATAATGACCAACCTCTCTTCTTCAAGTCACCGATAAAGTTTAAGACTAAACTTAGACAGACCACGTCGAATTTCTGTTCTTCAGTTTTGGGTAGAGGGAATTTGAAGAAATCGCACCTCGCGACGACCGATTCGTCGATCGGATTGATATCGATCGAAGTTGTCGAGATCCAGTCGGTGTATTTCGCATATGATTTTCCATCGATCGCACCTACGTCTAATAATGTGACTTTCTTTTGTTTTTTTGTAAAAGAAGAAAAGAAGAAAATTAATGAGTTTTGAGTGACTAGTTCTTGAATATAATTTATGAACTCACGTTGATTGTAGGGGGAGGGCCGGATGGACGGAAGCCCAATTCGATCAAAGTTTGGGCACACCACTTCCCAGTCTCCCCGCCATTCTCTAATGCCCCACCGATCTTGGAGGCCGTCTGATAGGCTTCGAGGCCACCGAGTTTCTTCTGTTCTAGGATTAATCTATGTCGGGTGAGAGGGTCTAGTTTAGGTTGTGATAGCCGTTTCTCGATCCGATGAAACTCTGAGATGAGTTTTGATGGCTCGTCCTTGATCTTCTTGGAGTGTTTCCTGATCAACCTTTCAATCTTCTTCTTGTTTTCTTCTTCCTGATCACCATCTTCATCATCATCATCCCCCTCCACCACTACCGCTACCGAATCTTTTCTTTTCCCTCGATCATTGCTCTCATTACTCTTTTGCTTCGATGGTTTGGCTTTCTTATCGGTCGCATCAGATGAGACTTTGGACTGATCAGTTTTCCGTTTAATCTCTGCTGGTACGTCCTCAATTAATGATGATGATGATGATGATACTGCTGCTGATGATTCCTGGGTGAGATGTAGTGCTTGAATCTCCGAGTTAGATTGTGAGTTGGGTTTATGTTCTGATGGGTTTCTAGTGGTGCTGTTGGTGGTTGATTGTTTGTTTCGATTGAGTTTGACTTTTGATAGGATTTCAGTCTTAAGACTGTTTCGAGTTGGCCTGCCTCGAGCTCGTCTGTTGTTGAGTTGGACCATCCTAGCTGGTTATGCAGTGTCAGAAGTTTTTCTCAAACTCAACTCGACCATCGGGTCCTTTTGGCCTGGCAATTATCTAGCCCCCCTCCCGCCCCGATGCCAAGCCCCCCTCCCCCTGATCTGCTTATCTAATCAATCCCTTCCACCAGATTACACCACCCACCACCAGCCGAAGCCAAACCATCAACCCAACCCAACCACACCACAACACAATATTTATAGGATGACTGATATCAAGAACAACAAACCGAATCACCAGAAACTGAACCAAATTTTCAACATCTCACACATTCTAATCGGACTAACGATCGGCATCTGTCTGGTTGAGTGTCTTCTGAATCAAGTACTGCGTACCCCCAAAGCTGCCGGCTGACCTAAATTCCCTCTTTGATCTGTCTGGCAATCATGTAGGCTTTGGCGATTAACCAATTCCCAACCTCCAGCTTGGATCGATGGACGAGATACGTGATCAAGCCTTCCTCATCGGCCGCCTTGGAATCAACTGACGACCATTTAAGCTGGCTGAGTTGGCACAAAGTTCAACTGAATAACCCACTCTCCAAGCACGATCATCACAAGTAAGCCAGTCATCAATCTAACACTACATACTACAAACAAACACACACACACTAAAATCAATCTTCCCTAAAAAAACGAATCCATCGCTTATAAAGTGACCTTCACCATGAGCAAACAGACCATCCTAACCATCAACCTCCAACTCTCAAGGAAGAGATCAAGAAGATCATCAATGCCAACAAACTCAAACTCGACAACTTCAACATCATCCATTCTAACGACGAACTATGAAAGCTCCCCTTTTTCCTTGATCTCTGATCTTACCAGCAACAGCCCAACACTTTGTAATACGAGAAACCATAACCAGCAACAACCAAACTTCTCTAGTTTTCATCTCTCTTCTACTGTACTTGTAACTCATCTTTGGCTTTCTTGTTATAAATAGTATCACTCAACAATCAATAACCAAAAACAGACTCATATAGACTCATTCATCCATCAGGAGAAGGGGAACCATCAGGTGGGAGACAGCATGTGTTTAATCAGTCAGATCAAACAAATCTCCCTTTTATACTGCGTATTTTGTACCATTGAGTTAAGACCATGTATGGAATTTATAAGCTGATACAATCAGCGACCAAAACCAGCATGGGGCTCATTTCAGCTGTTAAAATGATATATCATCAACTGAGACAATCCTATACACTATCTACCATAGTTTCTATGCCACTTCATCATCGATTCACGAAGTTTTTTTTTTTTTTTTTTTAGGAATTTCTTTCATGGCATCTGACCATTCAACAAGAAGGACAACCGATATATTTTCAAAGCCTTTCTTGTCTGCCATTACACCAACCCACACACTCACAGTAGTTCATATATTTGTATATGATGTATAAAGGAATGGAAACAAAAAGACAAAGAACGGACACAAGGCAATTGGATTAAATTCTGAAAAAAGCAACCATCCCGATCTTTGTTTTTTTTATTTCATAGAAATTGAAGATGAAATGAAATGAAAAGAAGTGAAGACCGTGATTGAAGTTGAGGATTGAAATACAGGTGGTTGGCGTGCGTGTGTTTGTTTGCGGGTGAGGCTGTAGGCGATAGTAGATTATCTATATGTGATAGATGACCACTCAGTATTTATCCTTCAGTTTCTTCAGCCCTTGGTGCAGATGAGCTGAAGGGCATTCCTTCTCGTTGTCGAACAGGTTCTGATGGAACAAAATGTAACCTTCAATACACTTTTCATGATAGTAAGAGAGCTGAGTGCGATTCTCCATACTTACCGAAGTAGGGATGCATCATGGCTTCATGTGCAGTCAGTCGCTCTTGGTGATCGTACTGGAGAAGCTTATCAAGGAAATCTGGGAAAACAAACAAACAAAGGATTAACACATGATCTACAAGAGCTCACTTCTCATGAGCCTTACCTATTGCTTCATTAGAAATGAACCGCTGACTAGAAAAACAAAAAAAGTGACGATGTCATTAATTGATTGATTGTATGGTAATATGGCACTTGGAGAGACAAACTTCTCAGTTGTAAGGAAACGACTCCAAGGCTTCCGCTGGTAACGTCCCAAGATATCATCGTACTGAGCATCCAATTCGATATCGTATTTCTCCAAGTAGGCATATAACTCATCCGTCCCAAGTACTTTGGTAATCTTCACCAATTGATCATAGTTATCATGTCCGTGGAAGAAAGGCTCCTTTCGAAAGATCTGCAGGTGGACAAGATTATTTAACCCTAAGATTAGTTGAGCCGCAAGTCGATTCGGATAAGATAGAGTAAAAGACAGACCATCGATGCGAACATGCAACCGAGACTCCACATATCGAGGCTGTAGTCATACTCTTGAAAGTCGACGAGTAATTCGGGTCCCTTGAAATATCTTGAGGCGACCCGTACATTATACTCGGTATTCGGATGATAAAACTCGGCGAGACCCCAATCGATCAGGCGTAGTTGGCGACGTTCATGGTCGATCATCACGTTGTGGGGCTTGACATCTCTAGCGTACAGCTTAAAGATTGGTCAGACGATGAACTTACTCCTCTCTGTAAGAGAATTGTGATCACACACCTGTGCATGATTCCTCGGGAGTGGGCAAAGTCGAGTGCTTTGAGTAGTTCGAGGATGTAGAACCGAACGTCATAATCACTAAATTTGGGATAGAGGACTTTAAAGTCGGTGTTGTTGATGTATTCTGTGACGATCGATGGCGTTTTTGACTGGATTCCAAGCGATCAAGTATTAGTCAGGGGCCGTTGAGAAGAGACAGACATGCAGATCGCCTAGGAGACTTCGAATAAAGTCCAGTCTTACCTGTGGATCACGGACGACGTCCAATAAGGTGATGATGTTGGGGCCACCGGCTAAGTTTTGTAGAATCTTGATCTCCCGTTTGATTTTTTTCTTCTTGACTGGTTTTAGGACCTGGTTGAGTCATCCACATTCGACGGAAAGAAAAAGAAGCAGAGAGGTGAGCGATTGATGCGATTTTTTTCCTCCTGCCCATCAATTTGCACAAGAAGTGAGGAGGGGCCAAGAATGGATCCAACATACCTTAATGATACATTTCTCATCGTTTACAATATTGACACCTTCGAAAACCTCCGAATATTTACCACGGCCGACTTTCCTAACGATCTCGTAATTATCTTGGTGACCCCATGAAACTGACAATCCATCTGTTCAAACAGCCAGAACCGAAATCAAGGGTCTGATAAGCGAGATGTTTTTTTTATTATTATGAGATTGATAGTTCGACATACCATAGTCCCACCAAGTTTGACCGTACTCCGCGTTGACGTTGGCATAGACATTGGCGATTGATCTTGGAGCTGTCATGATGTCTATCGAGATAGTTTCCTTGGGTTTCCTTGCTGCTCCAGTAGGTAGTGGGTTTTTTTGGGGGGGTGTTTCGTTCTGCCTTCTTCTTGGTCTTCTCTTCCCTCCTCGCTCCACTCTGGGCTGTTTGGCCCCTGGTCGTGAGCTTGCCGATGTAAAATCCAGTTTTATCCAGTTTAAAACACCCCGCGATCCAAAACTCATCGAGCGCGGATCGAAGGAGAAGGACACCCATGCTGCACATGTTTAGTCGCCAAAGAGCAGCAAGATCAAAAGGAATTCAGCAGCAAACAACTACCTTTTGCTTATAGTTCTTTCCTGATCGCCCAGAAGGAACCCAACTCATATATAAAACTGCGCAGAACGTCGCATGCAAACGCTGCAGCGGATGGCTAAGGCACACAGACGATCACTCGACAAATATTTGGAAAGAAGAGGTTGTTGCACATTTACATAATAGTAGATATGTGGAGATATCTGAATAGGAAACAAATAAAGGAGATTTCGTCCATCAAAAATTCCCAATGGACGTCGGAGGATAAATATCCAGCAAAAAGATGTGTAAAATGATTAAGCCCAAACGGGTTTCTCGGACAGCTGCTGCCTTTGAGAATCCGTGAACATCAACAACTTTTTTTGAAGATATATTTATGCAGAATTTTGAAAGTTCCACAAAACTTGCAGAACAGTCAGGATTCGTGTTTTAGAGGGATGGATTTGAAAATGAGCTATCACTCAGGAGGGTGGTGAGAATCAATGATGAAGTACTCACATTGTTGAAACAGCCAAAAAAATAATTTCAACATGCAAGCTCATTGCGACACTCCATCAAGGACATCCTGCAGGATCTGTGTCCACAATGGAGAAATTGACCGACCCTCATCCAAATTTGGTGATGATTTCTGATCATCCTCAGCTTGTTAGCCACACATGAAGTTTGAGGTCAAGATGCTTTGATACCGTCGAGAGGAAAAGTCTCCCCAGCCCAGACTTTCAGGTTCCGTAAAGTTTAATGAATAAATAAAATCTTGCAAGAGGAATTGATCAAGCACAAATCGCATAAGGATAAATTTTTCTGACCCCGCATACACCCAGATTAATGTTTCTCTACACGACTACCAAGTACCCCTAGGTTCGCAGTCAGCTATGTTTTAGATTGTGGGAACGCCATCCAAAGGTATGCGCAGTAACATCCTTGGATGGTACGAGGGAGGTCCTGTTTCTTTTCTCCATTTGATAACGTGCGCAAAAAGTTTGAAGCAAAAATCAATACCCTTTCAGATTTTTGGCGTCCTTGACTAGTATGTAGCATAAACTTGGTCTCGGAGAGATATGGTTCGGATGAAATCTGGTCAAGAATTTCCTACCAACTGGGGGATATTCATCATCCGCTCAACGTTTCTTGCAATAATTTTGGCTAGTGGTCGGAGGTTAAACACAAAAAAGAAATTGAAGGTTATGATGTTGATAATTTTTCTGATACTTTGCCATTTTGGCCCCCTTAATGCTTCAAAGTGGAATCCACTCGCCACATTAAGACCTTTCAGCTCTCGCGCTAACCAGGCTGTTGAAAATAATATAACGGACAATGTGGCTTTGGGCCAGAAAGACTACCCAACTGAAACTTCTGGTACTACATTGGACGTGGTGGTGAGAAGTAACATTGCCAAGAGTGCAAATCTGAACACGAATGTTTGGTCCGGTAATGTCACCCAACCGAATTACCAGTTGCATCATGCAATTGACCAAGTTTCAATAGACAAGAGCATGGCCAAAACGACAGCCAAATTGAAAAAGACATTTCAAACCTTGGAAGCTCTGGATAGAATCTCGGAAGACATCCACAAAAAGATACTTCTCCAAGAAGATAATTTTTCGATATATGAAATAGCGTTCACGGATAATATTGTCAAAGAGTTGAAGGAGAGGAAAATTTCAAAGATTGACCTCAATTCTTGGAAATCTATTGCAAAAGAAAAAACTGGCCGTATTCGTTCGGGGATCTTGAAAAGCTTGACATCAGCGGAAAGGCAATCAAAACAAGAGACTTGGTGGTCTCGGTTGGTTGATTTTTTCAAATATATATTTAGAAAATCGAAATGGAAAAAAGAACAGCTTTCCCTCAAGCTGAGAAAATTGAGGAGCAATTCCATGGCAAGCCACAATGAATCTTCAGACGAGGAGCGTACCGCGATATACAGATTATCAATCAAGGATTATAATGGATTCACTTTTACAAATCGAGAGGTTCAGTTGATTGAAAGGATGGCAGGTGGTAGATCCCATCTCACTTCGACCGATCACGATTTGATAACGGAGATATCCCGATGCTCAATGACGGGGACTCAGAGGAAACTTCTGGAGCTGAAAGTCTACTTCTCACAAATCGCGAGAGAATATCCCAATACCATAAATTCTGACATTGTGAAAGCATTGCAAGAGCTCGAGGAGAAAATGAAAAGATTAAAGAAATGGTCCAGCGGTGAAGTAAAACTCTACAATAGGCTGGGAACCATGAAAGATATCAAAGCCATCCGCCCACATCTGGGTAACAGAAAGAGATGGATACTTCAGCGTGTGATTATCCAATGGAAGCGATCAGAGAGAATGAGATTTTACATGAAGGCCTTTGTGATCTTAGGGATAAAGCCTGAGGAGCTATTTTCCAAGGCGGAAGAAGCAGTCGCAACAAAGTTAAGAAGGTGGTATGAATTGTATAGTGAAGATTTCTATTCTGGCTCAATAGGTTGCCCTTTCGACTTTTCGGAGGAACAATGGGATATAGTCAGGAGATATGTGGAGGAATACGATAGCATGCTTGATAGTGGTCGGCAACTTTTCAAGAATGCCCAGCTGATCGATACGGCCAAGAGTCATGTCCAAGGCTACCAGGACTCCACAGTAGAAAAAACTCCACTTCATCCAATATTCAGGTATTCCATCAACGGGTTGAAGAAATTAGAAGAGTTGGGTGCTCAACTCTCAGTAGAAGAAAACTTGTTACTGAAAGGCCTCAAGTCAAAAAGAAACCCATCCCTTTCTCAAAAGGAACTCGAAAAATTAGCCGTTGAAGGCATCATACTCGAAACAGGGGGGGTTCCAACCTATCTTCAAGAATCGGTGATTGTACTAGATTCTACAAACACAAAGCACCTATCGCCTCTAACAACTACAGACCAGAAAATTATTGGTATATTAAAAGGCTTAGGCGAAGATGAATTGGAAGAACTCAAGAGACTGGGATCACTGTCTAGAAATGATCCAGAATTCAAATCCGAGACCAAGTTTATCAGAATGTTACGAATCTTGATCGAAGTGGATATTAGATCCAACTTCAATGTTGACAAAACTAGGAAACTGTTGCAGAGATTAATCCAGCTCAAGAAGAACGAAATTCAGCGCGCAAGATCCCAGTTTGAGAAGCGGGAGCAGGACATGAACGATTTTCAGTCGATTGAGGCTCTTCCCGGATTGGAAAAGGTGCTTTACAAGTTCGAAGATGTATCTCGCGAATGAAGCCGAGGACAACTTGATGACTCGACCCTCTTCTTTCCCTGTGGTTTCAACCGTACCATCTCTCAAGTTGTGGCCCGTGGGATAATTATTATGGAGGGGTTCAACTTGTGCCTGATTGCCGTCTGGGTTGGCTATAGGACTCTGGACTAGACTACTCAGAATTAATACTTATTTATCATGAATCTACTCCAGGAGAAGCGTACGGAAGAATTATTAGAGACGTTCATCATTTTCATCCATGGTCGTATCTCTCAACTCCATGCAGTTGTCTTTTAATCCTAAGCTATGCCTTCCAGTCAAACCAGTCACTTGGTCTGTTTTTTAAGTTTTCCTGATTCTTTTGTTCAATGTTCTTTTTTTTAGTTGTCGCATCTGTCTTTACTTTCTGCCATTAGACCTGCACGTCTATGCCGCGTGACAGCCACCACCACTGTACAGCACTGACCCAGGTAGAGTCCTGTTGGAGGGATGGAATCGATGATGTCACTTTGTGGGGGATCTTACTAAGGGCTCCCGGTCCCATGTGGTCTGTTGCCTTGAGACTGAGTAAGTATTAGCTGTTGACCGCCTTCCTCTTCGCAACTCCTGTTAACCATCGTGGCGAAGGAAGTTCCGTGTCCGAGTGACTAACGAGTTCTCTCTGCCTTCCTTTCTCACTTCATCACTAATTCTGTAGAAAACCTACGCCATTCAGAACCATTCTCCTCCCAAACATGTCCGAGACTGAAGCTGAGTACGAAACCCATCCGGCTGAGAGTCAAGCTAATTCTAGCACTGGGATCAGTTTCCGAAAAGGCTTGGAGCCCTCCGAGCTGGATGCGCATCTTTTGCGGAAGGAAGACGACCGATCAGTCTCGAGCCAAACTCATACTGTCAAATCGGCTGTCCAAACATTGAGCCAGGCGATTTCTGAAAGTGATCTTGTGAGTTGAAGGCTCGAGCAGATTTAATGTCTGGCTTGTTTGGACTGAGTACACTTTTCCCTTTTAAAGGAAAAGGATGACTCGCTCAATTTCCAGCTGGCAAGAGCAGCCCAAACGATTTCGAATTTTCTCAAGGTAGCTCACTTGACCATTTTGACCGAGGAAGACTATAACCTACTGCCTGATTGGATGAAAAGAGATTTGATCGGATGTTTGGACATGATTTGCAAGCCCGTCTTTATCCCGACACTCAACTTCTGCAGCCCATCCCATTCTGATCACTTGTTCATGCATGTCTCTGGTTTACCCAATTCAGTGAGCGAAAGGTTCTTGAACGCACTCTTCCTCCTGAGGCAACACATACGTCATTTGGCTATCAAGCGCGAACGCATCGTATCTACTCAAATGGTAACATTATCCGACGTTGTTATTGCCGCCATCATCGATTATGCTAGTGATACGCCGCAAGGGAAGAGAAAAAGAACAGACCGGGCGGAGTGTCAAACAATTGAGCTTGCAGTGCGACTACCACAGCGGATTGACAGCTTAGCTATTTTTCTTAAAACGCCCATCTTTGGAGAAGACCCCGATCTGAACCTACAAGTCAAATTGGGCGCCTTGGCAATACTCTACTGCTCTAGATGCCTGAACCCCATAAGACAGCTCTCTGAGAAGAATTTGGCCGATTGCATCTCAGGTTTTTGCCTCTGCGCTCGATTGAAAAATATTCCTGGTCTGGCGATAGCTCATCTTATCTGTGTTTACATTGTAAGGGGCGCTGCTCTATTAAGGTTCTCACCAATAAAGAAAAAAAAAGTCCAGCTGATATAGCACTTGATCAACAGTCCTCTTGCGCGGATTTTAAGGATGAAATCCATCCCTTCAAGCCTGCCACAAACGCTGCTCTATGGACGTTACTCATTCAGCTGTTTCCAGAGACAGGCTTGCTTTCCAAAGAAGCCTTTGACTCTGGACAAAAGGCATTTTTTTCCCATGGTGCACTTTTGATGCCCTGGATTTGGTGGAACAGTTCCCTTTGCCCTGCTCAAGGCATAAATTGGGTAGGGGTTATTGTGAGTATCCTTAAATCTTCTTACATAGTTCATATCGAATTGATTGACAAATCTACCCTGCTTCGATTTCCCTCATTCAGACTCTTTTGTGGATACGTCAAGAATACTCGTGGCTCGGCTTGAATTCCAGTACTCATGGACTCTTTTTATCCAACTCCTCTCAGTTTGAATGTTTGGAAGAAGCCTCAAATTACTCGCGCGTGGTGGACGTTTTGCTAGAGAATCACGCAATAGGTTTCAAACATTTACTGGTCAGGCTTTTGTTGTATCGCGATGTTGTAGGAGTGAAATAAACTGATCTGGTCAATTTGTCGTGAATGCCAGGGAGTCAATCGGGATCAACATTCTTCAGAACAATCCGGTATCGAAAAGTGCTTCCCAAACTACACTATGTTGGCAGTGCTTCAAGTCTACTCGGCGGTATGCAACTTACCGAAAATACAGCTGAGTACGGAAGAAAAAGATGAGATCTGCGCTCAGATTGAAAAAGTCTTGCAAGTCGAGATCGATCGAAGCTTTGAAGGATCGGGTGAGTTACTTCAAAAAGTCTTCATGAGCCATTTCAATACTCCTACTCACTCATTCGCAATCTCTAGCTGGGTTGGAAATTCTAAACATGATCCTCAGCTTGCCACAGGAAGTTTGTGATCGCATGATGAAGAGCTTGCAGATCAGGTTCCACTGGATGCTTGAAAGCTTGCTCCTGGAGATAGAGATTTCTGCCGACCCTACCTATCGCCAAGAAGAAAACCTGTCACATCAAAAGCGAGCTTTAAGCAAGTTAGAATTTCTTACGAAATGTGTCGAAAGTCAGCCATTAATTAGTGAGTTATGTAATAAGAGAAGATAAAATCATCAGGATGCATCTCGAAGCTAACTCATCATCCATTCCGACTACCTGTAGAAGAGCATCTAGGCAAGAGCTCAGTATTTAACTTAGTTAATACACTTTTGACACCGCTAAGGTGCCATCATACGATAGCACTGGCCATAACCAAATTAACTTTGTGTATTTCCAAATCGGCAAATGTGGGATACGCGCTAAATCACCAGCAGATGAGAACGGTTTCTGAGGCATTAATTGAAGTCATGACGGTTGGTCATGAAGCAAGTAGTGAGTTAACCACTGGCGAGCCGTACTATGTAGGAGTGGAAGAGATGTAGGACTCACTTGAAATGATCTACTTGTATATCTAAATTGAAGCAAAACGTCGGCGACGCGGTGAAGGGGTTATGGCTGGACTGGCGACTGCAGATTTCGTCAAAGAATATGGCTCTCAATTCGATTATCAAATGAATTATCCATTGGGAATTTATACTGCCCTGCGAGAAGAATTGGCCGATGAGCTTTGGATTCACTTAGCCACTCTGCCACAAGCCGAGCCAACCCCGTCAAGCGATGGTTCCAACAAAACCTCCAATCACACTGGATCGGCTCCCGAAAAACATCCCGGAATTTCGATTGCCGAGGGAATGGACATATTATTTGAACGATTTAGTGAACTTCAAAGTGAGTCAGTTATCATTGTCAAAGTGCTTGAGCACGGTATAAGATTGATCGAATTATCTGATTAGGGAAATACATCCGAGCAAGCCCGTTGGCACGAGAGTTGTTGATTTACCTGAAGTCCAGCCCGGAGGAAGTGCTTCAAAATATGATCCACATGCTTTGAAATCACAACATTTATTTGAGTTCAGCGCAGTCAAATAAATCTTCCTTTTTTCATTGTCATCTACTTTCTTTTGGACTTCAAGTGGACTAGAGAACTCGCGGCGCACGCCGCGAGCCCTCTTTGAACTGGAACAAGGGAACAGTTCTGGGAACTTTGAATTGGAACAGAATGGTGAGCTGAAATGTAGATGGGCAAACCTAACTGGAATTGTGTAATGTAGCAAATAACAATTAAGAAACATGAACAAACAATTGTATAATGTATAATTATACGACAAATGAACAAACAAACAAATGGATAATAATAAGAATGTACATAAGACTCAGAGAGAAACAGGTGTTGAGAATGTCAACAATAGGGGGTTCACAATGGAAATTTATCAAGTATTCATAGTCAATTTGAAGGTCCCCATCAGCAACATGTTGAAGTTTTGACATGATGAACAGATTTGAGGGTTTCTGAGGAATCAGAAAGGCTTTTTCATCATTCAAAAATTTGTCCAGAAACACCTTAAAATGGGTTTGTAAAATTGTGTAAATTTCATTTGTGAACCCCCTCTAATAGGCTGAAAATGAGTGAACAATAGCTATCTGTGATAGAGGTGATGGAATGGATAAAGAATGAGGGTTCGTGTGGTGCAACTGGGATTTGAGTTTGAAAAGGAAAAAAAAAAAAAAACCTTCAGTCTGGTAAGGCTGCGTGATGAGCAAGGTCTTAAAGCATCATCAATGTCCATCAAGGAGCTCCAAGACTAAATAAGTTATTCAAGTCAGACCTTAAATGCTAATCCCTCTCAAGAAACAAAGAGTGCTTACCAGCTGACCCATGGGACTTCTTGAGTACGTTGTGGTTAACTACAGCAGTGGTGATGGATGGCCCACTTGGGTCAATGACCAATCCAATGGTGAGTCCCTTGACTGAAGTGAATAGGGAGAAAGCTACATAGAGTTGCCCATGTCCAAAAAGTGGGCTGGGAAAGAAGACTGCCACACATTTAAGGGACTGTCCTTGCGCATTGTTGATTGTCAAAGCAAACACAACAGAGATTGGAAACTGGTATTGGGAGGAAGTGACACCATAGTCTATAGACTTGATCTGCCTCATGTATTGTCTTGAGAGAGTGTTTGGGCACAATTCAAACCTCCAGCGGCACTCAGCCAAGCGGGACTTTGGATTTTTCCCAGCGGGATTCATCATGCGCGTTGTTGGTGGGGTGGAACTTGGCACATGGCCAAGTCCCGCTGGGCCAATTGGATTACATAGGATCATCAAAAACAACTCCTCCACAGACTTTGATCTGGGTTTCTTCAGTGAATTGATGGCCCCTGTTCCAAGTTCCAAGAAATCACTGGGCCAGTATTGTCTGCCCCATCTGATTAGTTTTTTGTTTCATTTTGATAATTCTTTTTCCTTATTGTACTTTTCAATCTCTTTTTATCATTTTTTTATCACACAAAGCATGAACAATACACAAATTGTAAAGAAAATAAATAACTCAACACTTCTTTCAACTATGTACCCCCCCTCCCAATCAATGGGTAAAGAGAGAGACAAGGAAGATACTAGGTCCATGTACCCCTTGAGTTGTGGGGTGCATTGAATTTTGGCGGGTGAGTCACTCTCACTTGATATTGGCCAAGCAAGTCTTTGCTCCAACCCCCACAATCTTTGGCATGTGCCAAGCGGGGGTTGGAAGGGTGCCACACACTCTTTGGGATTGGCCAAGCAGGCTTTTCAATTGTCCCAACATTCTTTGCCTCTTTTTGGCCGAACGCTATTGTGTGACCAAAGGGGCATGCAAAACCATATCAATTTGATATTGGGGATTGAGACCGTGGAGCCAACACAACATCCAGTTAAAATGTGTCTGAAATTGTTGCCAAATGTGACAAATTTACATACCCCCAAAGGGACTTGTTCCGGGTCAGACCACGGAGTGTCCTGTTGACTAAAGATGGCCCCATGGGACCCGGGTACCCGTTGATACCCGGGTACCGACTGCTTTTTTCGGCCAAAACGGACACCGGGTACCGCACCCGCTCAAGTATGACGGGTACCGGCGGTACTCCTGGCGGGTACCGCCTGGATACCGGAGCTCCTTCCAGGCAACCTGGTTGAGACCAATCAGGTCGCCAAGGAGGGCCCTTACCGGCGACCTGATTGGTCTTGATCAGGTTACCGAGGAGGGGTCCTCTCCAGCAACCTGGACGAGACCAGTTAGTCTCGGTCAAGCCACCGAGGAGGGGGTTTGGGGGCGGGTACCCTTGAAGGTACCAGGGTACCGCCTGCTTTTTTGCCCAAAAGCAGGCACCGAGTACCGCACCCGGCACCACTTGGCGGGTACCGGAGGAGTGAAGGCGGTACCCGCCAACGGGTCCCGGGTACCGCCCAACGGGTACCGCAAGGCCATCTTTACTGTTGACTGCTTCAACGGCAAGTTTATTCTGTATTGAAATTCTGTCCCAGATGATGACTCACACTTTGATTGTGGTGGCAGTGAAAGAGGATTGTGGGTTTCAGCTACAATCTGAGTCAGAGTGGAATCTTGAAGCAAGAGTAGGTGGTCAATCCATCAATTAATATTAAAGAAGCAACACCAGATGAAGCTGCTATCACAAATGGTACCTCCCAATATTTCAAGTAAACAGTGATGGTATTTCATGGATAGGTATTGACACAGCCACCTGGTCCATCAAGGTATGTACAACCATCCTCCCACAAAGCTGTCAAGCTTTTGGATGTCAGTGCTGAGTATTACCTCTTGATCCAAGTTCAACTTTTGACACCTGGAATTGAAGTTGCTACCAAGTGATTCAAAGGTGTCTTCAGTGGGATAAGGCATATTTTTGAAGCACACGCAAAGTCTAGTATCAGCCATGGTAATGCCCACACCACTTAAAGATTTTCAGGATTCTGAGAGCAACGGTGGGCCAGCTACGCTAACCGTAGTGTTAGTGTAGCGAAAAACCGCTACAATTTTGCGTAGCATTAGCACTTTTCTCATTTTCTGCGCTAACGCTACGCGCATGGGGAAAAAACCTGCGCTAACGTTTAGCGTAGCGTTAGTGCAATTCCCCAAACTTAACAAAAGCCCGCGTCCCTGCTGCGGCATGGGGCACTGTAGCCGCTCGTCAAGTGTGCATGCACTGAGTACTCTCCTGCAGGGAGAGGACGTATGCCCAAGGGGAGCATGATACCGTGAGGCTATCAACCATTTTTGGTGGTGAAGGTTCTCATTTCTCCATAGCGCCACAAATTTTAACCTAGTTTTTTTGTCCTCATCATACATGAAGCTTATATATATTTTTGTTAATCCTGTCAACTCAAAATTTGGACCTCTTGTCCCCATCATGCCCGCTTAAGCTTCCCAAATTTTGGGTATTGCAATTTTAATCTTGCCACTTATTGGCACAAACCTTTTTTTTTGCTCTTTTTTTCATAAAGCTCCTCTTTTTTTCAACCTTTTGGACCTCTGACATAACGATTGCTTATAACATCCTTCTTTTTTCATTCTCCAGCCGTTATCGCATCATCCGGCCCGGTTCCCCATACATCAAACCCTCCCGAAGACACACCTCCAAGCCATCTGGCCGTTGTTATCACTTCATCCGGCATCGAAAAGACAATCTGGCCATTTTGTTTGCTTCGCTTCATCCACATTGAACCCTCCCAAAGAAATACCTCCAAGCGATCAGATTGGCCGTTATTGCTTCATCCATCCGAAGTCCGCTGAACCCTCCCGAAGACACACCTCCGATTGATTGGCCGTTTGTTATTGCTTCGATCCAAAGTGCGCTGAAACCTCCCCAACACACACCTCCAAGCAATCGGACATTAGTTATCGTGTTTTCTTCTTTTTCTGTTTTTTGTTTTCTTCTTTTTTTTTCTCTGTCTATCTTTTTCTCTTGACCTCTCTCTCTCTCTCTCTCTCTCTGTTATTCTCTCTGTCATCTCGTTGGTTATATTACATGTGATGATCGGAGTTTTGTATTTCAACGGTCAACTGACCAATTAAGGAAGTAATTAGAAAAAAAAGAAAACAGTAAAGGTCCGATTAAAATACAATCGGTGTCAGCTCCGGTCTCTTATGTGACCAGGAGTTGATAGGGTTTTTGGGTCACACTATAGCCAAGAGGGCCAGTGGAAATAAAGTCCAACTCTACACTGGTACAGTGGAGGGACTGGCTCCTTATAAAAATAAGGGACAGCTGTGGAATGAGCTTCACAGTGCCTGAGCTCAGTTAATATAAGAGAAATGGGTTGGTACTAGTCTTATAAGTTAAATAAGTAACTTATAAGGCTAGTAATGAGTATAATGGAAAGAGTAATTAATATGTTAAGACTATTGTAAAAACCCCACTCACTATTTATTAGTAGTTTAATATCTAGTAAGGTGATTGGGTTTGTATGGTAATAATGTCTGGGGGATGAATCTCAGGGGGAGAAGCATCCTCTTAAATATTACAGAGCAGGGGTCAATTCTTCTGCTGGGACCGGTGCAGTCCCCTTATTGTTACACTTTTCCTTGGGGGAAAGTGTCAGGATATTCAGAGCATGATAAATGTACATGTGTTGAATATCCTTTATTTCAGAAAATACCATAAGAGAGATAAACATAATAATCATACACACAAGAGATGTAAATTGGATAATCATCTCTTGGATACACCCAGGAGATAATTATCCTTTTCACTTGATTATAATTTTCATGAAAGAGGTAAATTAATAAAGAGGTGAATCTTTATTAATTTACAGAATAATTATTAACATAAAAAATACATGTAAAAAGGGATAACATTACTTAATAATTATTAACTTAAAGATTACATATAATAATTATTATGTAACCCAAGGGGGTTACATTCTATTGTAGACACCTGGGCTAGTGTCTCAGTGTCTGGCAATCGGACCCTTATTTCAAAAAAATGTACGGCTTAAACAATTTTTTTTTGTAAGAATCTGAACAGACAGAAAGATCAACAGGATGCTAAAGTATTGCTGGGAGAGAGTAGCAAGAATGGAAGAAATAACAATGATTTTAAAATTGAAAAAAATAAAGCTACGGTTATTCTGGACTTAGCCTCATGCAGACTTGTGTCCGTCAGGCATAAGCCCCGCCTGCACCTCACGCCTACGGGTGCTCGCGGGCTTTGTTACGCTTGGCGATTCCCCCCATCTGCGCTAACTCTACGCGCGCAGGGCGCAAAGAACCGCCCGCTACGCTGCACTACAGCAGTTTTTAGCGGTTTTTTTGCCGCTAAAAGCGCTGTAGCGCAGCGTACCAGCTGTAGCAATGCGCTAACACTACCCAGAATCAAGCCGCCTGTTAGCGGGGCTACAGCGTAGCGGCGGTAGCGGCACGCTAACACTACAGAAAAAAAGGCATGTTTCAGCGCCGCTACGCTAACGCTAAGTGGCCCTTTAGCGTAGCGTAGCGGCCCAGCGTTGTGCGCTGGCACATTCCAATTGGAGCTGATTGAACGGGACCAGGGCCGGTTGAACGAGCCACCCGGATGTTCCAATGCAACCAACGGCCT